CATGATGGAGTCTGCCATTGTCAGACGAAACGCGTGGGAGATAAATAAAAGTTTTTACTTTCTCAATTCGAGCACTGATGCTCACTAGTTTGTTCCGTCAAAAGCGCTTCTAATGTGAAGTCACGTCGACCTCGACAGAAAAATTAAGCTCACCCTGTCATAATCAATGGTTTGATACTGTAAGTACCAATTTAGGTATATCGTTGGGTTTTGATCACAATGATGAAAAAAATGTGCGTTTCCTCACGCTCGCAACATTTATTCTTTGGAAAATTATTTTGCTGGAGGGCGATGACGCTTAGCTTGGTGCGTCTTGACTCTGGCCGACAAAAATTATCGAGGTGAACCCCATGAAATTCTTGTCAAATGTTTTAAAAACTTTGTCTACCCTTGATTTGTACGCAGAAAAAAAAAGGCAAATTCCCAACGGTATTTCAAAACATTTTATTCATCGGTCAATTTATGAACTGTTTTATAGCAGCCCGAGGAAAAAGCAAAATTGAAACAACCAGCGTATCGGTCAAATGAATTCCAATTTTTTCAAAAAGGAGTTGGGAAGTTCATTTTTCCCAGTAAATTTAATTGGGGTCAATTTTTTGTGACAGCCGAAGATAGACATCTCTGAAACGTCCCTGAAACTCTTAAAGAGTTTACACTTCCGGTAATATTTTCCTCCTTCTCGCAACAGCGCAACAGACATTGTTAATCCTATGTAGTGTAGGTGTATCAGTTGCATTACGTCTTCATAGTGATGCCATATAAAAAAATCGAGTGTCTAAAAAGCCCTCAATTCAACCTAACACTCGAATTGATAGAGTCAAGATGGTGCAGTTGTCTTGTTCATTTGCAACTAACTGTAGAACCAAATGTTATTTTTTTCGCGCTGGCCAGGGACAGCAGCAGCTCATACCTCTAGATTCGTGGGTATACCGTTTAAAAAAAACATTTGAGAGACGTCGATGTATCCCTAACATGCGTTTCGTCCGAGAAGAAGCTTATTCTAGCGCGTATTGGCCTAATAGTACTTTTCACCAAGAAATTGTTATAGAGGGATATCAGTACTGTACATTTTTACCAAGAGCCTTTGAGTCGCTCATATCTGAAAGCTACACCAATTTCACATTAACAGTAGGGTGTATTACTGTTGCAACCTATAGTAATATGAGTTTCAAAATATTTGATTCAGAATGAAAAAACTTCAGTAATTTTTATATGCAAGTGAAAATTTGCAATTACTGTAATCAGTAGACTCTGAAGTTTTTGTACATTATTAACTGCCACAAACTAAATGGTCATTTTTCATTCGAAGGCAAATGAAAATAATGGTTTTGATCAGAGTGATTTCACTAAGCCTGGGTACTGCTAATCAATTACATTAATGTGATTAGATGCGAAATGCCTTGGGACCTTTTCTTTCTTTACATCTTTCAGAGTGATATTCATTTGCCCATGAAATAAAGAAATGTCAATTTAGTTTGTAGTAGTTGATAAATAACAAAAGAAAACAAAAAAATTCACGGTACACCGCAAACTATTAATTGCCCTATTCTTTCACAGAAAATGAAAATTACTCTAAACGCTAACAGTTAATTAGTACCCGCCAGGTTTAGTGAAACCACTCTAACCAATAAACCAAAATGTATTAACTAAAGTATACTAGTCCAGTAACTCCAAATGGAAACAAACAAATTGGGAGGTAATAGTACAAAATATGCTGAAGTATATTTCACACATTCATGAGAACCACTCCAACAACCCCATAAAATTATTAGTTCATCTGGTAATAACCTTTGGTAGTGACTTTTTTTTTTCTTTTGGTTAAGATTCATCACCCTAGCACTTGGGGCTGTTCATAAATAAAAGCTTTCTCAGCCTGAAACTTTTGTCAAACAAGAAAAAGAAAACATTAGAAGACGGCCTGTTTGGCAAAAGACTTACCCTTCTACAACCCTTAACTCGCAAAACAAAATTTAATCAATTCAAATAGTGTCTAGTAATAGGTATTGAAATGGAACTACCTGCCCCCACCCCACTTCAGGAAAGGGTCTTAACACTACATAACAAATGCCGTTTCAGCTCAGTATACATTTGTGAGAAACCTGCATCTCTGACATACCAAGAGAAAAAACAGTTACAGGAGAAATCAATAATTGCATAAAAAAAACTTAGGCAAATGCAGGCACAAAAAACATAGTTTACTTCCAACAGAAAGCCCGGGTGAACACAAATATGCGTCTAGTTAGATTAACATTGTTATTACTTCGAGTTATGAGGTATTGTGGCGCAAGGAGTTTGTCTTTTGGTCGAGAGTCGAAGATACCAGGTCGAGGGTCTAGGGCGACGTGTCTCGGATTTTGTAATAAAAAAGCAATGAAACGCTTAGGAGATTAAGTCAATTTTTCCTGTTTAGTTCGTACAGAGTTGCTCACTAATTATCACTCTTAAAAATAATAATAGCCATAAAAAAATTTGAAAAGCGGTCAAGGGAGTTTTTGCTTCTTTTTTTTTCGGGCCAAACAGCGATGGCGGATTGTATAGCTTGACAAAATTCCGCAATAACGTGGGAAAAAAAACGGGAAATCAAAGATGAAATTTAGCGATCGCTATCAACAGAAATTAGATATTCAAGATCTTCTTATTGCACCACTCCTAATGGTAACATATCCGCAGTTCAAGTATACAATATACATTCAGATACAATCATGTTCGTGCATCGATTCCAGAGAATCCCAACTGTTTTATGTCTATGTTTCTCACTGCCCTCCTGGCTGTCTTCACCTTCTCTTTCGCCTATTGACGTTCAAATTTGCAAATGACTGGGTTCGGCCAGTTGGATAGTTTTCTTGCTGGCACGCGATAGGCAATGTCTTCATTACTGATTGATATTTCTTTGACTCCAGTTTGTCTAAAAAGCTGTAGGCAAAGATTTGCCGTTTGCTCTGGACTTCCTTTCAGCCACCTGCGGCAATCGAGAGATTTTGACGTTGAACTGATAATAGTACATTTCAAATGAATCGATCGATTTTGAAAGTCGGTCGCAGGCATCAGAGATTGAATTTAACTTGAGCTTCATTTTCTTTATCTCCTCAGCTGCATATTTCCTGAATGCCTGGAGTTCATCGTATTGTGCAAATACAGATTCAAACGATTTGGCCTTGCTCTCTGGCGATGAATCGCCGCCATGATTATCTACAGCTCGATCATTTTCTTCGGTTCTGTTACCAATTTCAACATAACTTCTCCAAAATGTTTCTTCAGTTCGGCAACTTCATTTCTTAATAGCTGATTTTCCTTTATAAGTTGATTATGTTTTCTAGTCATCTTGGTTTGTCTCAAAAGAGTTACAAACGGAGGAAAGAAATACACGTCCACTCCGCTCGCGCGCACGCAGTAAAAACTCACTTACGAATTAGGGAGTATCATAAACTGCACGTGATACTAACTTAACAATCGCATATGTAGGGCAATCCTGAAAGTGCGCAAGATACTAACGTAACAAGCCAATCAATTACAATCCTAAAGTTGCGCAAGTTACTAACGTAACAAACCAATGAATGACAATTTTAAAGATGCGCAAGATACTAATGTAACAAACCAATGAGTGACCAATGAATGACAATCCTAAAGGTGTGTAAGACACTAACGTAACAAACCAATGAATGACAATCCTTAAGATGCGCAAGATACTAGCGTAACAAACAAGTGAATGACAATCCTTAAGATGCGCAAGATACTAACTTTCAAAAGTTCGCGAGAAGCTAGCGTAACAATCGAATGTAAGTCGATTATCCGCAGTTCAAATATATGATATTTAGAAAATAAAATCCTTCAGGCGACTGGTATGTCGGCTGATAAAGTCCGCGGCTAAAATATTGTTCAAGAAATGAATATTTGGCTTAGAAGTATAGTTTCGAGGGCCAATGTGAAATTTTAAGGACAATCTCTCAGCTGAACAGTTACGAAGCTTCGGTAAATAACACCTGCAGTCGCTCTGTGGCTGGTGGCGAAGTGCATGCAAGGTTTGCGGCTTTAAGGCCAAAACGCACTTAATTCAATCAGCTATAAACTGACAGTTTAGCAATTGTACAATTAATCATAAATGACGAGATTTTATAATTTTTCGCCAGCTTCGCTTGATGGTATATTTTCAATGAGGGAAAATAGAAGCCATCGAACTTAATGACGCTCTTAGAATTGTTCAGACTGTTTTATTGAAATTTTTTTGATCAATGCCCTCCAAAGTGACAATTATAGTGATAGAGTTTATATTCTTGGACATAAAAATGTTTTGGGCCCATCCCAAAGCTAATTTTAACCTTTGCCGATTGGCACAGGCTGAAAGGAGTCTGAGTCGGAGCGAACTATAAACATTAAAAAAAAATGAAAACTTTAAAACCCAAAACATTTTACATCATGCGATGCCTTGAAGGTATAACTGTCTTCAGCATGAAAAATATAAGCTCTCCCTGGGTAACTTGAATCCCGCTTTGAAGTGCCGTTTTGTACTCATCTGCAGAGTAGCTCGTCACAAACCAGTTGAAATTAAATCCTCTTCTTATTATATTTTGACCCGTTGTGACTGTTTAAGAAAGTTTCACCCCCAACAGACTAGAGATCAGTGGTTGAGGATCTTTAGCTATTATCAAAATCAACAAATTTCCCAATTTTATTCCACTGTTTATTGCTTAAATTTCCGTTTTCATTTATTTCGTGTAATGAATCAGTGTCACTAAATATCCTTAGATTGACCATATTATTCCAAACTTTTATTGTTTTTGTTATTGCTGATTGTTGTTGCTGAGATCACAATATTCCTGACGTTTCTACAGACACTTGCATTCATAGTGAGAAAATTACTTTAATTATCTGGCTCTTTTAGCTGAAGAAAGCAATAACCTTCACTGGTTAATTAAAACATTAAACGTGGTCCCAGTTTCTTAATCCCTTAGCCAGAAACTGATGAAAGGTGTTGCCATGATTGACTTCATCTCGGCCAAAGCTCAGACGAAAAGTGCATAAACTTCAACGCATACAGTGCCATCATTATCTCCTTCGGTGGAGTTCATTAGATCCTCCCCATACCACAAGCGTAACTGTTGGTTCAAGGCAACGGGGGTGGGGTTGAGAGACGATAATATCAACTCTGGAGATAATGAGTTATATGTAGGAATTTTGGACCACTTAGCATTATCACGTACAATGAGCTGGCTTGCTGGCAAAATGATTTGGTCAGTCGAGGTTGTTATGACAACATTAACCAATTCCCGTACCAAGGCATTCGAGCCACAGCCCCAGTAAGACCAATAGGAGACTTTTTGTTTGTGACACGTTACATAACCGTACAGGTGAACCAGCTTTACGGCAGCCAGCCTTTTAGAACCAGTTGTAGCCGTAAAACTGCCAAATTGGTTGTTCTTGGCGCCGAAACAAACTGGAGAGGTATTTTGCTTGTGCCAAAAAGCTGTAGAATAAATAAAAAATCATTTTTTTACAAAAAATGTTGTTGTTCATCGTGGTTTTATAGATAAATGAATATTTAATCGTTTGTCTCACGATGTAAGAGTCAACGTGATAAAAAATGAAGATCGTGACGTTTCAACTGCGATACCGCTGGTCTTCCTTAGGCGACGAGGTCGAAAGTTTAAGTGTCGCTATTCATAGCAGCTTAGTTTGTTTTCATTGGTGTGTCCATTGTCAGGAGCATAACAGCCACATTATCTTGGCAAGTGACGCTAGAAATATACTTTAAAGATCAGAGCTAATACTCAGAGGTTATATTTGATGCCACTAGAAAACGGCAATAATGCAAGTTTCTAATACTTGTGCAACCAACTAATATTGACATAGCAACCTCCCGTTGACAGAAACAAAAAGGTTATCAACTTATATGAACGGTACTTGGTTAAATATTCCTGGCACTGAAATAGTTGCTTGAGTCGAATCAGCGATTAGAAAACCTGACCCTTAGCAAGTGAACTCTGTGAGAAGATGTGTAAACTGATTTCTGCAACAAGTCAAACCACCTACGCCCAACATCGCGAATGAAATGCGAAAAAGCCCTTAAAGATCTCAAACAGGATGACTCTATCGAGACCTTACCAGCCGACAAAGGTCGTATCAACGTAGTTCTAGATGACGACACCTGACATTATAAAATGAAAACATTGATCAAGACAGGTGTAATGTCGTATCTTAAGTATGCATTCATCATGGGAATGGATCGGCATGATTGCATCACTGTATGTTAACTATGAATATTAATATTGTGAAATATATTTAACTGATATGAATATTAATCTAAGTGTGTTGTAAGTCGTGGCAGTATAACCGGATAAAATGATAGACTTGACATTTGTGAAGAGGATTTAAAGGATACATAGGATTTCAGGAATGTTACGGTGTAATTTAACCGACAGAATGAACACTATTCTCCAACAAACCCAACTACTGTATTAAAAAACTTGTAATATTCTTACTAAGAAGCAACTCCTAACGGCAGTACAGTGAACTTAATAAAGCATTGACAAAAACTATTTGACGCAGTTGTATATGGGCGTGGCATTAAGGAATAGGACAAAGGTCTTTTTGTGGTGTTACATAGACTTAGATGAGTGGGGTGGGGTTAACAGTTCTTGACGACAAGTGCGAGTTCAGAGGTCCAAACTGCCAGAATTGAGGAGAGAGAGAGATTGTTTCTAATGAAGGGGTTCGTGAAAGGGACTGGTGAAGGGAGTTCAAAGGAGAGGCTTACGTAGACGAGAAGAGAGGTGCGGTTTCAAAGTCTCCTAAAATTGGTGATGTAGTGCTCCTGAGGGCGGAGAAAAATAACAAACTGCCAAGTTTTTTTTGAAAAATTACCATACCCCAGGAAGGTTCCAACAGCTCGGTAGAAAACGGAGGAAATGGAAACGCTCTCGCAGACGCTGGGAAAGAACATGAGAAAGGCACATCGGACGCGGAAGTAAACATGGAAAATGAACGAGTAGATGTTGGCTATAAGGATCAAGAGATTCGACAGCATCAGGAGGTGCGGGGGTCGATGCGTCAGATTCGGAGATCAGCAAGATTTAAGGGCTTTGTTTTGAACTAAGGAGTATTGTAACTAAGGATTTGGTTTCATAGCGACTGATCTACGATTATAAGTCGTGAAGGACGCTTTTGTGCTATTCTTGGAGTGCATGCCTATTTTTGTAAATATTTGGAGTTTTGTTGAGTGCTGGACGATAAAGATCATGTTAAGTGTCCTTGTGAGAAAAGGAAGGAATGCAGTATCGTATCTTAAATTATGCACTCATCATGGGAATAGACGGGCATAACTATCAATTAGGGGATTATTAGTTGATCCAGTAACAAATTCTCCGAACTTAAGTCGTTAGAATTGTACAGCATTCAGTAAGGAGAATTACTAATGAGATATTGAGAGTGAAAAGGTTAAGTCAAATTACACGGTCACCAACCCCGCTTATTTTGTGTCCACTATTAGCCACCAAGAATTACAAGTCAACAAAATCATGGTTTTCTTCGACGTAGAATCGCTTTTTACTAACGGGTGTTACGCAAACTTCCCCGCTGTAGGATGATTCTTGTCTTGCTGAACGTGCGACAACTTGCACAAACTACCGATCTCTTTATATTAGGGTGATTTGTTATTATCAACCGAGTTGATAACGTAAATGGGCTAACGTAAAAATTTTCAAAGTTGACGTTTCAGGCGTTGGCCAACGTCAGAGCATCATTATCATCATCATTCATTCTCCGCGGTACACAATTTTTCCTGACTTCCTCTTTACACAGAATAACTACATGCAATTTACGTGAGAAATTGAGGAAGACTGAAAACTTCCCTTCCTGTACTTCCCGGTAGGTCGTGACAAGAACACTGCGAACATCAATTGACTAGAAAGCGACGCATACCGACAGATTAATGGATCAGTTATCCCATAATGGTGTATATAAGTGACGCTTTGGACCAAGACTTACGCCTGTGAATTCTCTCAAACATTGGCTTCGGTGTGAGCGTGTGGTGAATGAGATCATTTTATTTATTTTGAATCGGCTTATCAAACTGTTGTGACGCTAAATTGTCCTCGCTGTAACGGTAGATGTGTCCCTAAGTGCAACGGCATCGACCGTGTGACCAACTGGCTGTATAAACAGCCAGAAACTATAATTAAGTATATTAATTAAACATATACGGCTCATGCGAATCGGACTTGAATCGAGACTTGCAGAATTCCATACAGGAGACTGCACAGCCGTGCAAAAACACGTACTGCGCGGGTAAATGACTAAAGCACTTCGTTTTAAAAGCAATTCGGCTTGAAACAGGGAAATAAGTAAACTTACCTGCAGCACTCCCCTTCACGGTCAAAAACTCAAGAATTGAAACGAACAGGAAAATGAAAATACATTTCATTTTAACTTCAAACAGAGCGACTGGTTTTTTAACCTCCGCCACGAGTCTGCAGTAACTGTATCACGCATCGTGATCCTATCATAGTATATCTACTTCCAAAGGGCATACCAATATATCGCGGTATCAAAGTCGTCTGTGATTGGCTGAAAATATCTGATTGGAATCGCACTATTGAGATCAATGCTCACATCTTCACTCCAGAATTCTCGGACGCCTTTATCCTTATACTGGCTGGACGACGATAAGGAACCACTTCCGAATCTGAGAAACCAATACTGTATTTATATAGGTGGCGTTAAGAGAATCAAGGGATGTTGGCCATTTAAACCGAGATTCCCGAAATTCGGGCGTAAATAGTTAGTTCTGTGTTTCTGTTTACAACCATAGAAATGCGTTTTGAGTTTGCACTCCCAAGAGACTAATTTATCGCTTCGTTAAAATTTTTACTCTTTACCCGCACAAGCTATGAACATTCTGTTCAACTACGTCTGTTTTTCGTTCTACTCCACTCTAATTCACTTTAATTTGATGCGATCCAGCGCCGGACTAGTTTGGCACGGCTGGGGCTACGCAGAATCTATTCCACAGATAGTTTGGTGAATGCATGTTTAAATCTAACAAGACGAAATTATTTATCAGCGGCAAGAATGTACAGGGTTCACTTGGCATTATTTCGTAGTTGCACTCGCCTGTGGCTCGTGCAATGACATAAACTTTCCAAAAATCCTGCCCTTCCCCTGATCAGATAATGCACCCATGTTCATTCAATGATCTGTTTACTATTTTCATCGCAAAATCACGTACTCAAAACACTTTCAAAGGTCTGAAAAATGAAGCTACGTTTTCTTGGAATGGATTGCTACCTACATTCATTGGGGAGAGAAAAACCAAGATAACTGAATTTGTTTACATCTTTCTTCTTTTGGAGCATTTTAGCACTTACGTTGTTGTATCTATTTACGACAAGGATCTATTTTGAGAGAGAGCAATACAGAAATCCCGTATTGAACTCTACAACCTATCTATATATATATATATATATATATGATATTTTCCCAACAGGAACAAGATATTTTTTATTGAAACTTCTGTTTTTTTTTTATCTCTGACAAGCCCTTTGACAGTCTAGTTCAACATTTCGTGCAACAATTCTACGCTGTTTCTGCAATGTTGCATCTCGACTAGCCTGTAAGCCCCATCTTGGGGAAATTCAGTAAAAATGGAATATTTGTGTACTGTGGCTAATTACATTCGGGATTTTAGTGCGTCCAATACCCTATCTTTTGACCAACCGGTTTACAGATGAATGTAAATATCCATGATCTAGATTTAAAGAGATTATGTAGAGGGCAATACGAGATTTGGCACTTCACTCCTTCGAACGTCAGGCATTAATTAACAATTGGTTCATGCTTTAGCGTGCACTATCAAGTTATGTAGCACGTGGGAAGTTTGGAGAGCACGAAAGAAGCGTAAGAGTTGCCCGAGACAATATTTTTTTGTCAAAAATTGTCGCATTTCACCCTCGGACAGTGAAGCGAACCGTGACGGCGCTGATGCCGAGTCTCCTTGTCCGTTGGTTTTCTCTTTTACTGCCTCAGTACGGGATTTCCGTATTGCTCTCTCCTAAAACGAATCCTTGACCTAAATAGACGCAACAACGTAAGTTGTAACAAATTAAGTAACAAATCAAAGCATGAACCAATTTTTAATTAATGTCTGACGTTCGAAGGAGTGCAGTGCCAAATCTCGTATTGCCCTTTACATAATCTCTTTAAATCTAGATCATGGATATTTACATTCATCTGTAAACCGGTTGGTCAAAAGATAGGGTATTGGACGCACTAAAATCCCGAATGGAATTAGCCACAATATACAAATATTCCATATTTACTGAATTTCCCCCAGACAAGTCGAGATACAACATTGCAGAAATAGCGTAGAATTGTTGCACGAAATGTTGAACTAGACTGTGAAAGAGCTTGTCGAAAAAAAAAGACAAAACAAAAAAACAAAAAAAACCAGAAGTTTAAGCAAAGAAATATCTTGTTCCTGTTGGGAAAATGTCATATTCATAGATAGGTTGCAGAGCTCAATACGGGATTTCTGTATTGCTCTTTCTTAAAACGAATCCTTGACTTAAATAGATGCGACAACGTCAGTTGTAACAAATTAAGTAACAAATTTATCTTGGTTTTTCTTTCACGATTAATGTAGGTAGCAATCCATTCCAAGAAAACGTAGCTTCATTTTCCAGACCTTTGAAAGTGTTTTGAGTACTGTGCATCCGTCATAAACGAAACAATTGGCTCAAGAAGCTAGAGTTGCTCTCGGCTACGCCTCGAAAAAAAAAACGCGTTTCTATGGTTGTAAACAGAAACACAGAACTAACTATTTACGCCCGAATTTCAGGAATCTCGGTTTAAATGGTCAACATCCCTTAATTCTCTTAACGCCACCTATGTAATGCAGTATTGGCTTCTCAGATTCGCAAGTGGTTCCCTATCGTCGTCCAGCCAGTATAAGGATAAAAGCGCCCGAAAATTCTGGAGTGAAGATGTGAGAATTTATCTCAATATTGCGATTCCAATCAGATATTTTCAGCCAATCACAGGCCTGAAAAGTGGGACGACTTTCATACCGCCATATATTGGTATGCCCTTTGAAAGTAGGTATACTATGAGAGGATCACGATGCATGATACAGTTACTGCAGACTCGTGGCGGAGGATAGAACACCAGTCGCTCTGTTTGAAGTTAACATGAAATCTATTTTCATTTTCCTGTTCGTTTCAATTCTTGGGTTGTTGGCCGTGAAGAGAAGTGCTGCAGGTAAGTTTATTCATTTCCCTGTGCTTTTAAAACAAAGTGCTTCAGTCGTTTACGCACAGTACGTGTTTTTGCACGGCTGTGTAGTTTCCTGTAAGGAATTCTTTAAGTCTCGATTCAAGTCCGGTTCGCATGAGCCGTATATATGATTAATTAATATACTTAAATAGGATTTCTAGCTGTTTCTACAGCCCGTCGGTCATACGGTCGATGCTGTTGCGCATGGGAAGACATCTACCGTTACAGCGAGGACAGTTCAGCGTCACAACAGTTAGATAAGCCGATTCAAAATAGATAAAATGATCTCATTCACCACACGCTCACACCGAAGCATATATGTGAAAGAATTCATAGGCGCGAGTCTTGGTCCAAACCGTGGTTCCTGACATCGCTCGTCAATCATGTGGTCGATGCCGTTGAGCTTGGGAACACAGTTACCGTTACAGCAAGGACAATTTAGCGTCACAACAGTTATATAAGCAGATTCAGAATAGATAAAATGATCTCATTCACCACGCGCTCAGACAATCTTGTACTGAAATTCCAGCCAGTCTCTCCAAAACAGGACGTTTGACTGTCGGTGCTCTTGATGTTCTAAACTGCTTTTCCTGCTGGTAGAACCGCAGTAAACCAAAAACCCTGGACCGGGACGGTATCAGAAGATCGATCAAGATAAAGACCGCTCTAATCTACTCTGGGAACTCAACTGCCCACAAACTCTATCGAAACAAAATATCAAAAAGTATCAAGCTTGGATTGTCTCTTTACTATTGCATAGATGATAAATTCAAAGAAAACATATGAGCGTTTTCCTAACGGCGAAATTGTTAAAAGTAATCTGCTCCGACAAAGATTATGCTGATCTTTATAATCTCTTGGCACCGAAGACTTACGAAATGGCGTATAAAAGAGGATTTGTTTCGAAAACAAACATGATTCCTTGCGTTCCGCAAAGTTGTTCAGTCAATTTATATGAAAAAATTTTTAAATTGCTCTTGCATTTAATCGAAGAAGAGGCCTACTGGGCTGTGACTAAAGGTGGGACTGGGAAGTGGGACTCGAACAAGACAAATACAACAACAAAACAAATACAATTAAGAAAAAATAATAATAAGTCAATGTCAAAAACACCTTGCTCCGAGTGCATGCGATGCATCTGGTGGCTGGGTGCTCCAGCACGCAATCTTACTTGCAGAAAATAATTGGGATGCATTTTTTTTTTCTCAACGCTTTGGCCATAAGAGTGACTAACATCTAATTTCTCCTTACAATATCACCCCTGAATCAAACGTTAAGGTCATGAGAATAAAGGAAATGATCACCGATTAGAGCAGCTTCTTATTTTTCAACAAATTCTCCTTGTCAGCACCTCAGGAAGGTTATAGAGAACAGTATGAAGAATATACTCTCTGATGTTAGGGTATAGAGGGTTATGCTTACCATTTCAATAAATGGAGCACCATCGTCAACACTTTCAATATCCAATTCAGTGGGAGACTTCACTTGAAGTCCTTGTTCCAATGCTAACTCTGCTTCTCTCATTACTAGCAAGAAATCCTTCACACGGCTTATACAACTGTTAATGGCATTGGGAAAGAAAAAAAGAAACAAACAAACAAAGAAAAAATTCTGAGTTCCCATGAGGAATCAAACCTCAGACCTTCAGATTCCATGGCGTCATACATATACGTCAACAAGCACCCGACATGTGACTTTAAAATCTCTCTCCTGCTCCACAGTTTCCTCATAGTAAACTGTGCGATAATGATAATAGACGATCAAATTATAGGCCAATGAATTTTTTGTTCTGTACAAGAGCCCTATTTCCTGATTTTCGCAAATCTCCAAAGTAATAAACGACTGAAGAAAGAAACGCTACGATTTTCTCATTGATTTTTCGTCTACATGCATCTCTCTAAACGTGAAATTTTCCATTCCTACAAAAACCCTCGAAAGTTTTTCACATTTTTCACCTTTCTTGATCAATCATCTTATATAAAGAGCTAAAAAACGTAGGTTTATTTCGTCAAGTGATCGCCTAGAGCAAGAATTGCGTGACAGGTGTAGTTGAAAGAAACTTGTCACAGTCGCAGATTTTAAAAGACATCCAACACAAAAATACGGTAGTGTCCAAAGATTTTTTTGATGATTTTCAGAGATGAAATAATAGATTATAAAAGGTAATTAAGATTAGTGTTGTAGCTTTCTGACAACGGGAGATATTTGACCTCAAAGTTGTCAAATATTTGGATGAATCGAAAAGTCTAAAAACACAGTCGTATATTTACCTCTGTTGATTGACAAGCCGTCAATCAAATGGACTTATACTTGCGGCGAACATTAACTAAGGATGTAAAAATGTGTGTGCAAACTCTCAGAATAATTGATTAAATACCATCGCAGTGAGAGCGTCATACATCTTACCTATTTTGAAGCGATTTCCTCGGTGAAAACCAAGAAAAACCGGGGGGTGGTCTATCTCCCCCCGGAAAAAACCAAAGCAGAAACTAGTTTGTCTTCTTGAGTTTTGGGAGACCCTTTAAACTGGCAAAGTTTCATTGAAATCGGTGAGACGGCATGTGGAACGACTGCCCGGTGCTCTCGTGGACACGCTCTTAAAAAGCGCCTCAATGGAGTTTGTCGTTTGTCGTTTGTCGTTTGTCGTTTGTCGTTTGTCGTTTGTCGTTTGTCGTTTGTCGTTTGTCGTTTGTCGTTTGTCGTTTGTCGTTTGTCGTTTGTCGTTTGTCGTTTGTCGTTTGTCGTTTGTCGTTTGTCGTTTGTCGTTTGTCGTTTGTCGTTTGTCGTTTGTCGTTTGTTGTTTGTTTTACGTGCCTTTTTTTGCCAGCTGTTGCAGGTTTTGATCAATTGTTTGATCTCAGGTGTGATAAACGGATTCGGGCGTGACTTGATCTTGATGCGCTTAATTGGTGCGTGTTCACTCAGCGTGTCGAGGAATAACTCTTTGAATACATCAACTTGGCCATCGATTTCGTCAAAAATATTAACAAGGTGAAAAGGGTCACACATCAAATCACTTAGGAATAACTCAGAGTTATAGTTTTTGTAGCTTCTGGTGAAAATATAAAAAAGGCCGAGGTTTTAAAGCTTTGAGATTCAATGTGACCGCCACCAATCAATAATCAGCATCTGCCGAAATATTTACGTCGCAGATAGTAATAAAGCTCTTGTTTGTTGTAAGCGCCACATCAATTAACGTTACAGATGTATCAGTGGTCCTTGTTGGTTGTGTAACAAGCTGCGAGAGATTAAGTGAATTACAGAGATCCATCAAAGCTCGACCCTCAGGACAAGAGGAGCCCGGCAAAATGTCTGCATTTAGGTCACCAGCAACCATACCTTCCATTCCTAGAAGAAGCGAGTCCATAAAAGAGGTGATAAAATCGTCCAGGAATCTAGACATGGATACTAAGTCTGGCCTGTAAGCAGCGCATAGTAGAAAAGATTTTGATTTCCTGCACTGGACTTTAAGCCAGAGTTGTTGGGAATTAGCATCCATAGTTGCTGGCGAGTTATCGATGATCGATGCTTTAAATGAGTTTCTAATGTAGACAACGATCCCGCCCCCAGATTTATGCGGATCTCTATCCTGCCTGAAAATGATATGGCCAGGAATTTGGATGTCATTATTAGTCGTGGGAGGGTCCAGCCAGGATTCAGAGACGACAGATATATCACAATTATCGTGAACAATCGTTTGCTTGACCAGGTAGAGTTTTTTGTGTGAAGCCATCGCATGATTTTTAAGTTTTTACATGTTTAGAAACAAATTATCAAATAGATAAAATTGAAACTGAAATGCTTAACGCTGTTTGAAATTTCATTTTCGGGTAGAAAGAAGGTTACCTTAAAAATGATGTCTCTCTAACGTCCTTGACGTTCAACTAGACATTATTGACTTGAATTATGGCTACATTCACCATGCAAGGGTATCTAATGTCATGCAGATCAATCAGCGGTCACCTACCCCGAGTGATCGTAATTTGAAAGCTCTAACGGTTTGGGAACCGCGATATCCAAATAAAGCCCCATCCAAAGGCTCTCAGCAAAGCTTAAGGGTGAAATTGGCATTCTTTAAGTTTATCTCAGCTCGCTTAAAAAATAGAGGAAATGGAATGAAGTTGAACTCATGAGAAACGTAGAAATATCATTCAAGTTTTGTTCTCCCTTTTGTTGATAAGCCATCCCTTTCTTAATCGATTAACGAGTACAATGCAACGTCAGGTGTCACCTGTTTTTGCATCACATGTTTTTGCACCGGTATGGACCAGCTGCTCAGTTTATTTGACTATATACACAGATGGAAGCGAACTGCTTATTCAACATTTAATTAAATGAGATGAGATTATTTAACAATTGGCACGATTTGTAAAGAAGAAAACGCAAAAGTAAACAAACGTAGGAATTTGTTTGGCAATCAGGAGCTTCTTAAATTGGTGATCATTTCCTTTATTCTCATGACCTTATCTATGATTCAAGGGTAACACTGTAGAATTTAGAAGCCAGTTACCCATACCCGGCTAGGAGTTGAAAAATTTGGGCATGCAACAGCTTATGCGCTTTCAGGTTTGAAAATAGTTTCGAATTAGTGATCCGTTTGGTCTTCGTTTTAAACGCCTTTTTGATTTCAAAGCGTAACTGCTTTTACAATCGACAGAAATGACCTTTCTTGATAATATATATAATTATTCTTCCTTTTCAATCTTTTCCGTCAATTTGCTACATTTTACACGCATTTAGAGGCTCGAGGAGAAGATGAATCCCTAGGCTTGGAAAGAAAGAAACTTGACTCATCGGGAAGCAGTTACTCTTATTTTCCTTGTGAAAATTGCTTTTGTTACATAACATAAAGCTGACCTTACATGTTTTTACTTTTTTTTATTTCTATTATCAATACTGTTTGAGGTGCACCCCTCGTTTAAAAACACTCCAACAGAAATCGTAACCTGCGTAGCCAGGCTCCTAAAGGAGGGAAGAGGGAAGGGGACAGTGGATGAATGGAAAAAAGGAACACCCAGTTTTCTATAATTCTCACTTTATACTCTGTTACCGAGGACTTATCCCCCCCCCCTCTTCGTTAATCAAATCCTTCTATCTCTCCCCCCTCCCTTCCCCCGCTCCCTTCCCCCCGGTGGTAAATAAGGACTGGTCCTAAGAACAGAAAAGTGATAACCTTGATCTAAAAAGTAGGCGCTTTCCTAGTTTATGATTCCATTACATAAAAACTATGAAAAGTTTTGTTACGACTACTTGCTGCTCAGTGAAAGCTCAGACGAAAATTGCATATACATCAACGCAAGCGGTGCCTCCATTGTCTCCCTCGCCAGCATTCATTAGATCCTCGCCATACCACACTCGTAACTCTTGGTGGTAGCCGACTTGGGAGGGGCTGAAAAACGACAGCACTAACTCTGTGGAAAGTGAGTCATATCCAGGAACCTTGGACCATTTAGCACTATTATTTGCGATGAACTCGTGTGGCGGCAAAAGAACTTGATCGTCTGAGGTTGTTATGACAACATTAATCTCGCCCCGTCTCCAGCCGTACGAGCCACAGCCCCAGTAAGACCAATAAGAGACATGTCGTGTATCACAGGACACGTACCCGTAGAGATGAACCAACTTCACAGCGGCCACCCTTTTAAAAGCAGTTTTAACATAGAATCTTCCAAACTGTCCGCTCTTTGCGCCAAAACACACTGGCGCGTTATTCTACTTTTGCCATCTATCTGTAAAGTAAACAGAAATTTGTTTCTCATGTCAATAAAACATGTTTGTTATTCGAATAAAAAAACCAATCGTAGAAGTAACATTCAGGGAAGAAGATTACCGAATATCTATTCAACCCAACGAAGCTGCGAAAGCCCAATGCTAATAGAAGGAAAAGTTAATTCTTGAACCAAGTTCTTAGTTCTTGCAAATGCAAGTCAAAATTACATATGAAAACGGTTTAATTCTTAACTAGGGAGACAAAAAAACTTACAGTCTAACCTTTCCTTATGGCCTATCTTCGTCCCAGGAAAATTATAATATATTTTCTTCGCAAAGCCCACTCCAATACACACATCTCTAATCGGACATGGAAGACTAAATTTCGGCCATAGAGAGCAAATACCGTAAAGATCCAATTTGATGCCCTCGTTCCAATTGTTTTTGTCAATAAGTGCCTCTAAACTGATTGGTACCCCTATACGGGATTTAAACCCATGAGCCCTTGCGATACCGGTGCAGTGCTCTATCAACTGAGCTAACGAGCCAACTGGGAGCTGGTCACTGTTGGTTTATAAGTGATCAATTAATGAATGTGAATATATGAAAAATCATATATATGGTTAAGAAATGAATATGAAAGTCATATTCGTAGTGATGGACACAGAAATAAAAGCTTTTTTTGGTCATTGGCAAAAACAGGAAAAAAAATCAAATGCGTCAATGTCCCGTGGTTCATGAGCTATCGAGTTAAACACTCGAAGAGAAATTCCATATCTACGCGCTCTATTTATCTTGATCGATCTTCTAATACCGTCCAAGGTTTTTGGTTTATACGGGTCTACCCTACATTGAAAGTGTCTCAGAGGTTCTCTGTCGCTGCCTACAACAACAAGGCGTGCGCACCGTCTTTAAATCAGACAAGACGGTCAGATCACACTTCGATCATAGTGCAAACAGAGATCCCATCATGTTAGCGAAAAGGGACGGCGCTGTCTACAAAATCTCCCCATTACAGCTTCCTTTGTCCCGTAGAAATTCCAACGAATTTTTCTTCACGAAAACTCCTATTAATTGCGGACGGCTTTAGTGAGCACAACAGGCTTGAAATCTCAGTCCTAGAGAGTAAATGCGTAGAGCATAACAATGATCACTTCTCTAGTACAGTCGAGTGCTATGAGTCATATGAGTCAGCTGAAAACTGATTGGTCGGTTTTTCCGTGATGTTATTCGCTGTGATTGGCAGTTTCGGTCCACCGGTATGGCTAATTCGTTCTGTATAAGCGGCTGTGAATATACGAAAGTCATATATTTGAACTGCGGATTAAGACGTGGATATGAAAGCGATCTTCGCAGTTATGAACACTACTTAAGCAGTAGTGAAAAGAAGGCCCGAAAAAAATTCAGGCCTGTACGGGATTTGAACCCATGACCTCTGCGATACCGGTGCAGTGCTCTACCAAGTGAGCTAACAAGCCAATTAGGAGCTGGTCACTGTGTTGGTTCCAAATAAACCCGTGAAGTGGTGAATAAATGGCTGGGAATATATGAAAGTCATATATTTGAACTGCGGATAAAGACTTGGATATGAAAGCGATCTTCGCAGTTATGAAGCAGTAGTGAAATCCCATATCGTTCTGTATAATTCGTTTGTTGTATCAAGGTCGTATATATGTCGTTAATATAGAACCGATAATTGTTTACATGGTTCGAATCGCTGTTGTTTGTCAGCATCGAAATTTCAAGAGACCTCATTGCTAAGGAACGCCCCCTCTCGCCGACGATCAATACCACTTTGGCTCTGTGCTACATTCTCCGCGGCGCACAATTTTTCCTGACTTCTTCTATACACAGAACAACTATATGCAATTTACTTGAGAAATAAGGAAGACTGAAAACTTCCCTTCCTAAACTTCCCAATAAGTTGTGACGAGAACACTGCGAACAAGAATTGACAAGAAAACGACGCATACCGACAGATTACTGGATCAGTTATCCCATAGTGGTGTATACAAGTGACGATTCTCATGAAATTCTGCGTCACCAAAAATCAATACCACTTTGGCTCTGTGCTACATTCTCCGCGGCGCACAATTTTTCCTGACTTCTTCTATACACAGAACAACTATATGCAATTTACTTGAGAAATAAGGAAGACTGAAAACTTCCCTTCCTAAACTTCCCAATAAGTTGTGACGAGAACACTGCGAACAAGAATTGACAAGAAAACGACGCATACCGACAGATTACTGGATCAGTTATCCCATAGTGGTGTATACAAGTGACGATTCTCATGAAATTCTGCGTCACCAAAAGGCCTACTACGCTGCAAATTTCACCAACTAAGAGGAAAAGACAGGGACTAACCAAACAGCAGGAAAAGCAGTTTAGAACATCAAGAGCACCGACAGTCAAACGTCCTGTTTTGGAGAGACCGGCTGGAATTTCAGCACAAAATTGTCTGAACGCGCGTGGTGAATGAGATCATTTTATCTATTCTGAATCTGCTTATATAACTGTTGTGACGCTAAATTGTCCTTGCTGTAACGGTAAATGTGTTCTCAAGCTCAACGGCATCAACCGCATGATTGACGAGCGAAGTCACGAACCACGCTTTGGACCAAGACTCGTGCCTGTGAATTCTTTCACACATATGCTTCGGTGTGAGCGTGTGGTGAATGAGATCATTTTATCTATTTTGAATCGGCTTATCTAACTGTTGTGATGCTGAACTGTCCTCGCTGTAACGGTAGATGTGTTCCTATGCGCAACAGCATCGACCCTATGACCGACGGGCTGTAGAAACAGCTAGAAATCCTATTTAAGTATATTAATTAATCATATATACGGCTCATGCGAATCGGACTTGAATCGAGACTTAAAGAATTCCATACAGGAAACCACACAGCCGTGCAAAAACACGTACTGTGCGTAAACGACCGAAGCACTTCGTTTTAAAAGCACAGGGAAATGAATAAACTTACCTGCAGCACTTCTCTTCACGGCCAACAACCCAACAATTGACACGAACAGGAAAATGAAAATAGATTTCATGTTAACTTCAAACAGAGCGACTGGTGTTCTATCCTCCGCCACGAGTCTGCAGTAACTATATCATGCATCGTGATCCTCTCATAGTATACCTACTTTCAAAGGGCATACCGATATATGGCGGTATGAAAGTCGTCCCACTTTTCAGGCCTGTGATTGGCTGAAAATATCTGATTGGAATCGCACTATTGAGATCAATGCTCACATCTTCACTCCAGAATTCTAGGGCGCCGTTATTCTTTGATGGCTGGATCGCGATAAGGAACCACTTGCGAATCTGAGAAACCAGTAGATTTGAAGAGATTATATAGAGGGCAATACGAGATTTGGCACTGCACTCCTTCGAAAGTCAGGCATTAATTAACAATTGTTCATGCCTTAGCATGCACTATTGAGTTAAGTAGCACGTGGGAAGTTTGGAGAGCACTAAAGAAGCGAAAGAGTTGCCCGAGGCAGTAGCCGGGGGCACCTCTAGCTTCTTCGTTCGAAGGAGTGCGGTGCCAAATCTCGTATTACCCTCTACATAATCTCTTCAAATCTAGATCATGGATATTTACATTCATCTGTAAACCAGTTGGTAAGATAGGGTATTGGACGCACTAAAATCTCGAACGGAATTAGCCACAGTACACAAATATTCCATTTTTATTGAATTTCCCCAAGATGGGGCTTACAGGCTAGTCGAGATGCAACATTGCAGAAATAGCGTAGAATTGTTGCACGAAATGTTGAACTAGACTGTGAAAGAGCTTGTCGGAAAAAAAAATAAAACCAGAAGCACGTGGGAAGTTTGGAGAGCACTCCAGAAGCTAGGGTTCCTCGGCTATTGTCTCGGGCAACTCTTACGCTTCTTTCGTGCTCTCCAAATTTCCCACGTGCTACATAACTCGATACTGCACGCTAAAGCATGAACCAATTGTTAAGTAATGCCTGACGTTCGAAGGAGTGCAGTGTCAAATCTCGTATTGCCCTCTACATAATCTCTTTAAATCGAGATCATGGATATTTACATTCATCTGTAAACCGGTTGGTCAAAAGATAGGGTATTGGACGCACTAAAATCCCGAATGGAATTAGCCAAAATACACAAATTTTCCACATGAATTTCCCCAAGATAAGGCTTACACACAAGTCGAGATGCAACATTGCAGAAATAGCGTAGAAGTGTTGCACGAAATGTTGAACTAGACTGTGAAAGAGCTTGTCGGAAAAGAAAAACAAACCAGAAGTTTAAGCAAAGAAATATCTTGTTTCTGTTAGGAAAATGTCATATTTATAGATTGGTTGCAGAGTTCAATACGGGATTTCTGTATTGCTTTCTCCTAAAATGAATCCCTGACTTAAATGGACGCAACAACGTAAGTGTTAAAATGCACCAAAAAAGGAAAGATGTAAACAAATTTATCTTGGTTTTTCCTTCACGATTAATGTAGGTATCAATCCATTCCAAGAAAACGTAGCTTCATTTTCCAGACCTTTGAAAGTGTTTTGAGTACTGTGCATCCGTCAAAAACGAAACAATTGGCGTTGGTACGTGATTTTGCGATAAAAATAGTAAACAGATCATTGCATAAACATGGTGCATCATCTGATCAGGGGGAGCACGGGATGCTTTGATAGTTTATTATAAATTATATCATAGCTAGCAGAGCCACACAATCAAATTCAGTATACGTAAACGTGCTTAAAATCCCGGTTGTGCACGCTGATAGCGTGAGCAAATCGCTTCGCTAGAATTTTTTTTTTTCGCGCGAGCTGCCATTGTGCTCTCTTAAAAAACGTGGCAGCGTAATTCGAAGTTGCACAAATTAGGAGAGACGTGACATTTTCTTAATTTGTAATCATTATCAAAACACCTCTAGCAATAATAGAAATGATAATCATGATAACACCATATACACATGTGAAAACACTCTAAAATTGGCATTTTTTGGCCGCACGTGAGTTATTCTTATAAAAATATCTCTACTCTTAGACTCTTAGCTTAGAACTCCCCCATCCCCCCCCCCCCAATGCCATTGAAAAATAATATATTTCGCGACAATAATGGATACAAACAGAGACTCGGCCCACCAGTCCCAAAACGAAGACGATTTTCCTACCTTTTCCCTTGGGCTAGAGTTCTTAAATGAGGCAGAAAAAGAGAAAAACAACGGAAAAGGAGACTCGGCATCAGCGCCGTCACGATTCGCTTCACTGTCCGAGCGTGAAATGCAACAATTTTTGACAGAAAGACACTCTGGTAAAACCAAACAAATGACAAACTGGTCTGTTTCAACCTTCAAAGGTAAGCGTAAATTTTTCCGAACTTAAAACTCGAGCTTTCAACAGAAAATTTGAAATAAAACCAATTCCTATTTTGCTTAATATTTCGCTTACCGCGAACAATCACTTCTGATATTATTGTCCGTTTTTCGCGTCGGATTTGATGTACAATTCCACCGGCTATGCTATAAAACAATTGGTTCATGCTTTTAGCTGTGCACTAACGAGTTATGGAGCACGTGGGAAGTTTGGAGAGCACGAAAGAAGCGTAAGAGTTGCCCGAGGCAATAGCCGAGGGCAACTCTAGCTTCTTGACTCAACTGTAACAGTTAAATAAACAACTTAAACAACATCAAAAAGTATCAAGCTTTGACTGTCTCTTTTAACTATTGCATAGATGATAAATTCAAAGAAAACATATGAGCGTTTTCCTAACAGCGAAATTGTTAAAAGTAATATGCTCCGACAAAGATTATGCTGATCTTTATAATCTCTTGGCACCGAAGACTTACGAAATGGCGTATACAAAAGGATTTGTTTTGAAAACAAACATGATTCCTTACGTTCTGCAACGTTGTTCAGTCAATTTATATGAAAAAGTTTTCAAATTGCACTTGCATTTAATTGAAGAAGAGGCCTACTGGTAGAATAAATCTATCTCCTAAAAACTGGTATTAGTTTGAAACGTAAATCCTACAATTAATAAGCAGATATTCTGTCAAAACAATTTTCTCCTCCTTGAGGAGTGAGTACAACGACAACGTGGTCTGTATGCTTCCTTTCAATCATACGATTGGCTCTTATTGAGGTTTAGAGCTAGTTCCAAAACGCTCGTGAATAATAATTCTGATCGTAATGATGGCGCGCTCGATCAAAATTTTGAAAACTAACAAAGCATTGTGTCAATCATCGTGCGCGCGGTAAGAGGTATCACTCTTTTAAATTACGCGCTTCACTCGTGAAGACTCCAGTGGGAAAAGTGCTTTTTGGACTAAAATTGTACTTTCATTGTATTTAAAATATATTAAAGTTTACACGGCAACCAGGTGGACAATCAGACATAGTTTGATGCTACTCTGGTTTGCAGATTTAATGAATGTAACTTCTTCGGTTACATTCATTCGTTTCGACAGTCACAGGAGTGTCGAAACGTTGGGTCTATGAATTGTAACTTCTTCGGTTACATTCATTAAATCTGCAAACCAGAGTAGCATCAAACTATGTCTTCATGGCATTTGTTATTACATCGAGTATATAACCGTGATAACTTACTTGTTTTAACCTTTCCTGCGTGTCCACTCCTAATGTATGTACCAGGATATATTGTTTGGAAGCGTTGTCGTTTCCATGAACTGATGTGAAATTTTCTTTTCGATAAGGCCACGTGCGTCACAATTTGATATGATAGTTAATGCGCTTTCGATCTCTGCCTCACTAGCGGAAAATCGATCATTTCGGTGCAAAACACGAATCCATCGGATACCATAAGACACCGATGGGAAACATTTTCGAGGCCCACCTTCGACCTTAGCAAGAGTTTTTCAGTCTCTCACCATCGGAAAATCGATTACTCTTATGGAATCCATATGATTCGATTCGTGTCCATCGGAATCCATCGGACACCGATGGAATAATACACATCATCAAGTTATTGACATCCGGTGTATTTGATCATTTCCACTTCCAATAGTTGCCAATCGACTTGCAGTTTTCCGATGGAAAAAATATTTTTTCCGATGGAATCTATTCGTGTGTATCGGACAACCCTAAAATTTATCTGCCTGCCCCCCCCCCTCCTCCCCCGGCCAAGGCCCTGTAGTACCGGTAATGTAATGATCCTTCCCTCGTCTCTTTCTCTGTCGTTTGTCACCTCGTGTGCGAAACAGGAGGGGGAAGGGATTAAAATTAAAAAAAAAAAAAAAAAAACCGACCACAAGCCCTTTACTTTCGAGTCCACTAGACCTCTTATTATAAAAATGCAAATTTATTCTTCTGATTAGGACTACATAATCCTGTCCACACTCGTCCGAATAAGTTGCCCAATGATGACGAACTTTTACAAGGTTATCCGACGTAATGTAAACGGTAAACATTTCATTCGTTTTTCCAATATGGCCAAAAGTTATTGCAGCGTTTTCGAGGTAAAAACGCTGTTTTCAAATTCGAAGTGTAAACCTGGCCTACATACAGTAGATCTCAAAGAAATAGTCACTGGCAAAATAATTAATATCAAACCAGATTATATTAAATTGAAGATTTTATGTGCATCGACTTTAAATTCGTGTCATCTCCTTTTCCTCCTCCTTTTGGCTTTTTTCGTTGTAGTTTTCTGTGTGTTTTGCCGTAGAAGTGTGCTATCCGTTGTCAGTGTTTTCACCTCTTCAATAATTGGCTTAACAAGTCCTTTCACCGGTTTTGTGATAACAAAATTCTCTTCTGTAACATGGCCACAGTCTATTTCATGAGTTGCAATTTCATCAGAGTCTCCACAAATATCCTCATCATTTTCTTCTGAAGATTCTTCATTGCTGTCGCTCTGGGTTTCCACTAATGCAAGATTCTATGCAATGAAGATGATTCAATTAAAAATAAGAATTAAATACACATTCAGATGTTGGTCGAGGTTGACATAAAATCTGGAGTAACATTATCATTGCTGAGAGAGGAACAAAACACATATCACACATGTCCCCCAACCCCGGCTCAAACAGACCAGGAAGTACACTACAAGTATTCCCTCCTTTTCAGCAAAGTCCATAAGAAGAGGTCTTTACTTGTGTCTTACTCCCAGAGTTCCATATGGCACGTCAACATCAATTTTTTTCACTGATTTTTTTAAGACTCAGGTAATGGACTTCGCTGAGAAAGGAGAGACTGCTACCTCTAATACTACCTCCCAAAATATAATGACAGATACTTAATTTCTAGACTGAAAGCAGCCCCCTGTTTGAAGCTGTTTGTCCTACAAGACAAACACAATTAAGAAAAAATAATACATCAATGCCAAAAACACCTTGCGTCTAGTGCATGCGATGCATCTGGTGGCTGGGTGCTCCAGCATGCAATCTTACTTGCAGAAAATAATTGGGATGCATTTTTTTTCTCAATCCTTTGGCCCTAAAAGTGACTAACATCTAATTTCTCCTTACAATATCTTCCCTGAATCAAAAATCAAGGTCAAGGGAATGATCACCCACTAAAGCAGCTTCTGATTTTTCAACAAATTCTCCTTGTCAGCACCTCAGGAAGGTTATACAGAACAGTGTAAAGAATATGCATTCTGATGTTAGGGTATAGAGGGTTATGCTTACCATTTCAATAAATGGAGCACCATCGTCAACACTTTCAATATCCAATTCAGTGGGAGACTTCACTTGAAGTTCTTGTTCCAATGCTAACTCTGCTTCTCTCATTACTGGCAAGAAATCCTTCACACGGCTTAAAACTGTAAGAAAAAATACTGTTCATGGCATTGCAAAAGATATTTTTTAATCTTGTCTCAAGTGTGGGACAAGAAAAAAAAATTCTGAATTCCATGAGGAATTGAACCTCAGACCTTTGGATTCCACGCTCTGATGCTCAACCACTGAGCCACAAAGACTCTATGGTGAGCAAAGCCCATTACAAAGTTCATATATGACACACATCCTGCATACTGCTAAGATCAGCAAGGTCAATATTGTCATGTTTTGTAAATAGAATAAGGAAGATGGTAAGTTTTGAGCTTGGTAAAGAAATAGAGAAAGATGCTTTTTTTGCATCTTATAATGAGCGTGGGACAAAGAAAAAATTATGAATCCCTATGTTATTGGCATTGTAACAGACTCCTTTCTGCCTAGTTATGATAACCCTTTCATCCCTAGGTCTGACGGTAAGTATCTTCAATCAAATTTAAAGGTCACAACAATAAAGAAAATGATCACCAATTCAGGAAGCTCCTGATCATCAAACAAGTTCTCCTTATCAGTAGTAGAGGAAACATAAAGAGAACAGTGTGGAGAATATAAACATCAAGGTAAGAGTTTTAAGGATTAAGGGTTATGATGTAGTTTCCTTATTTTTAGGCCCAGATATCTTAAACATTCCCTTATTTTAAAAAGTGAGATGGTTACACTGTAAGAGGAAGCTGATGTCTGTCTAAAGACTTGCTGCCTTGGATTGATTATCATCTAATTTCTTCTAACAATACCATCCCTAAACAAACATCATAGTTATGAGAATAAACGAGATGATCTGACATCCCCAACCACTGAGCAACCTTGGATCATCTAACAAATCCTCCTTAACAGTATTCTCAGAAATGTATAGAGAACAGTTTGGAGAATGTGTGTAAAGAGTTGAAAGCTTTATCAAGCAAATCCAAGTCTCATTTGCATCTGTGATATGGGTTCCCCTGGGTAACAAGAAAGTGCATAGATTCTGACACATTGCTAAATTTCATCTACCCAGTGATTCTAAGCCAAGTTTGCATCTTGCATGGTGAACTGTTCTTATATGGCATTTTACCCCTTCTTGTATTGATTTTTCACCAGTTTAGAGAGCCATTACAGTAATATATGAATGAAGAAATGAATAAAAAATAAAATTTACACAACTCCTCACTAGATGGATTCATACTCAAACCTTTCAGAGCGTGGTCTAACGAGCTAATCATTTGCCCATTGATCCTAAGAGTGACTAAAATATATTTTCTCCCTACAACGAACACCACCCCTGAATCACACATAAAGGTCACGAGAATAAAGGAAATGTTCACAAAACAAAAAAGCTCTCGATTATCACACAAATTACACTTGTAAGATATTTCATCGAGAACAGTAAGCAGAATATGCACACTGACGTTAGGGTGTATGGGTTAAGCCACCGCATTTAACACGAGTAATGTTAAGTATAAATTGTCTTTTATAAACACCTCATCGTCTTTTATAAACACCTCATCGTCTTTTAACCTTATTTCTGATCTGCGTATGAAAATTTAAAGTTTCATATCGGGTATCAACATTGGAATCATGCATCTCTACAAGGAAGGAAGCCTTCACCACGGTAAACTGTATTTTATCATAGCGGCATATTACCTGAAGACGGTTTGCAGGTCTGTACAGGAATTCTATTTTCCACCTTGCTTTTCCTAGTTATCAGAAGCTTGGAATTCTCTACGACAACAAAAAAAATTAGACCAAGTCAAAAGTACTAGTTTAGCGAGAAAAAACGCCAAACGATTCGCAATTAAGCTACGTAGATGATAAAAATTATATATTTAGGCTCAGTTGATTTACCATGCTTGATTGGAAGATGTAAAAGTTCGTCGGAATAGGAAATCTGTCGTGATTTCTGTCCATCGCTACATGACGCCATGTTGGAACAACAAGTGAGCACGAGGAAATGTTTATTTCCCGGAAGACGTCGCGAGCTCTCAGCTGCCGTTTTACCGGAAATGACGTCAGAGAACCGAATATCCGCCGGAGAAAACACAGATGGTTCCTCAAGAAAGATGGCGGAATGCGACTGGGAAGAAATGTTCCTTCGTAGTGAATACGATGGTCCAATTTTACCGTGGGATCGTTTTAGAAGATGGGTTACATGCTTTTGTATTGTGACGTTTGACTTAGAGCTTGGTCAAGCGTTAGAGGTGGGCCGCAGCGAGTGTTTCATTGATGCGATTTACGGTTCGAAAAACGCGCAGTCTTGAGCGCTTAAAACAGCATAATTAAATATGTGGTTATGGTGAGTTTGTAACGGATTTTCTTGTTTTTCTTTGTTACAGTTGGTTTACCCCGAACATATTGAACTAACAGACCGTGAGGTAAGATATACATAAAGCAAACACACGTTAGTACCTTCGGGCCATGAATTATTGTACGTACATAGTACATTCCATTTTATTCTTTGATCAACCTAATGTAATTTATGGCTCGTTTCTCTTACGCCAGTCTGTGTGTTTATTTCATAAGTAATTTAAATGGCCATAGTCTGGTTTGATAGTATTGTAGAATAGTTTTCTTGTGATTCTGTCAACTAAATCATTTTTTGTTTACCCGTCTGTGCTGGTTCGTGTTCTTACCAAGAAATTGAATTAATTTCCAGCCAAATCAGTGGACAATATATTATTCTAAAACTTTTCATCTCTATTAATTTTTTTTCACCGTAAAATTTGTTTAGTCATTCATCTTACATAACGATAAATCGCTTACAGTTGTTCTTCTGTGCGCCCTTGACCTTTGGTGGAAAATACCCCAAAAAATGGGATTTCCTTAGATATATTGGATCCTCTGTTGAAGAAGAAGTCTAAATGATACATCAGTGATGACGATAGGGATGCTTAGATACATGATTTTTTTGGAATTATTTTCTTGCTGTCTATATTGAAACTTTTGTTGATGGAGGGCAAACACTACATTTATATTGATCATCAAATATGATGAAATCTAAGATGGAGATTGGAAAATTAAGCTTTGGGATCCTGTGACATTTTAGATACCAGAAATGTATGACTAATTGAAGCTGTGTCTATTTAAAGTGGTCCGAACAATTTTTTTGTTGGGTGGTTATCACTATCTCTTGTTTTCTTTGCAGTTGTTTGAGGCAGAATATTAGACATTTTCAGAAGTAAATATTTATTTTATAATTGAGACCTTTAAATTTGGCAGCCGCTAAACATTCAGATAGCTGAAAAACAGTGTAATGTTTTTTTTACATGATAAAAGAGACCTACAAAAAATGATATGTAAATGTCTGTGTAATATTTATAGCCGTTTTCCTTTGGCTAACGATGTGAATTTCTACTTTTACCCATGAGAGTGATTAGTTCTCAAATAAATCAATAAATTCAATTTTGATGTGCTATCAAACTGACAGGTAACAAAAAAGTAAAAGAAGTGATCAACTTGCTGGCACTAATTCATGTAGTTATTTTTTGGTTATTTTATTCAAAGTTAACATGCAAAATTGATATGCATGTACTTTCAATTGATAATTTATGTGAATTATATGTAAGATCTAAGAGATTTAAGACAGCTGGCTTTCAAAAAGGTCTCAGTCATACAAAAGTAAAACTTGATGTTGTATGAAAAAAATGGTCACCATCTTTATCAATTTTTTTGGCCATAATGAATTATAAATTATTTTTTCATTTTCATCTTTTTACTGTTCTCATAAATGTGTATGTTAGTAAAAAGTAAAGCTATTATACAGGCCCAAGTGGTCCATGGGGCTGGCACTTAACTCTGGTTTGCTTAGTATGAAGCGGCTAGGAGTATTGCTACTCCCCCCTGAATGGGATGCTAGTCCATTGCAGGGCTACCCCCAGCATATTTGCTGGTACCCATTTGTACACCTGGGTGAAGAGAAGCACTGTGAGAGTAAAGTGTCTTGCCTAAGAACACAACACAATGACCCTGGCGGGGGGCTTGAACCCGGACCACTTGATCCAGAGTCGAGTGCACTAACCATGAGGCCACCGCACCTCCACATCAAATGTGTATGACCTAGTGTAAAAAAAGAACAATGTAGTCTTTGTAAATGTTGTGTCAATTTTTTAAAATTGACTTGACTTGAAAGTTATATAATTTTACTTCCAAGTAAACAAAAAAGGGCGATTAAAAAAAAGATATCAACTGCTACTTCTTTTATAAGCATGTACTACTGATAGTGAGAAAGAAATATGCAAGTTCAGTTTAAAACAAAGCTTGGTGATTTTGAGAAGAGAATCATTCTATATCCTTTTATTTTGTGGCTGACTGTTTTTATTCCACTTACAGAAAACAAGCATCTGTTATCTGGCCTTTCCTGACTCAAACTCAGGTAGAGAATGTTTGTAAAGGTTTGAAGAATCTTACTTGGGTGGCTAAGGATTCCCAGCTTTAGGTTGCTTCTTCTAACATCTTATGCAGAGAGCTTTATTAATAACAAGATATGATTCAGCATGCACTCAATCAGATTTTTAGTTCTTCACTGTGGCTGCTACACATTTCCTTGGTAAATAATTATGAGGATTTGATGTTAGTTAGGATCAAGACAACAACTTTTCCCAGATAAGTTTGAGTATTCTCATCACCAGCTTAGTGGATATGTATCACTGTTATAACAGGAAGAAGTCATATGTTTACCACCTCTGAGGATTAAAGGTTTAAAAAGTCTTACTTGGTAGCCTAGGATCCCCAGCATTAGGTTGCATCTTCTAGCATCAGAAGCAAGGAGGTTTTGTTGATAAGTGTTATAAGTGGATCTGAAGTAATTGCAATTAATAGTCTGTTTTGTTGGGATATTTCTCTGGCAGGATGCATGGGAGATACCCAGTTTCATTTCCGCATCAGATGTAGTCCTCGTAGTTGCCAGCGGAGCCAACTTGTGACAAGATTTGAAGATGAAGTTCCACTAGCATATAGGGTATGCAGTTATTTTACACAAACTTCGATTCATTGTTATCGGTATCTTGTGGTCAGGCATGTGCTCTGATTGTGTACAGACCCATAGGTGAGGATATTAGTCCTGTAAAGAACTGTTGTTGGTATCTATAATGTTCCATGTACGTCATTAGGACTATGGGACATGAGAGTCAACGGGCCACGTTGTTGTAAGGAGCATGCTTTGATTAAAGTTGTGGTCAGTGTCAATCCTATTGTATTGTTGTATTGTTGGTCATCTGACCCCAGACAGTACAGCATTGGTAACAGCTACCATTTTGATGGCTTGACTGGTATTTGTTTACATTTGATGGATTAGCTTATTACTTTCAAATAACAATGTTTCTCTTAACTCCGTACACCATACCATCAGTATGCATATTCTTCCTCTTGTTCTCTATACATTTCTCATGGACTCACGAGGAGAATTTGTTTAACAATCAAGAGCTTCTTGTGTGGGTGATCATTTCCTGTATTCTCATAACCATAATGTTTCATTCATTAGTGATGATGAATAAAGAATTTGGATGCAAGTTGCTCCTATGGGTTTAAGGGTTAACTTCGTCCAATAACTAATTGTTAATTACTTGCCTTAAGTGGCTTTTTGAGTTCACTGAGTGTGCAGTATATGAATATATACACCGTAGATGCCACAAAAGGATTGGTGTTTCAATGAATGCACTAAACATAGCATGAATTTTCTGTGTGCTTTCATTTTTGCAGAGTGACCCTGCTCATTTTTATGGCTTTGCATATTTTCGTCAAGTTAAAGATCCTTCAATTCAAAGGGGTTATTTTCAAAAGGTAATTAATTGTCCTGCATCTTACAAAATCTGTGGAATTTTTTAGTACGTTCTTTTCAACCTTAAAGGTCTATCTGTTTCCAGTTATTCACTCTCAGACTGCACAATTTGTCTTGTTTTGCCCACATCTTTTTATACACTGTAAATAGGTTTTGATTTTGTTTTTTATTTCTTATATTTTGTGTTTTCTTTTCAAGAATGTACATAATTGTAATATCTTATGAAATGTTTTTTGTTTTATTGTCTTCCAGTCAGTTGTATTGATTTCAAGGCTGCCCTACGTCAACCTGTTCTCAGAAGTGGTGAGTCTCACTGAGTGTTGTATCTTATTCATGTCTCCTTTCAGGGAGGGGACAGCAGTGGGAGAAGGTAGGAAAGAAGTAGAAGCTAGGGAGTGGGAGGTACATGTTAGGGAAAGTGAGGCAAGGAGTAAAAGGAAGTGGTGAGGCAAGGGGTAGAAGGAAAGAGGACACAGAAATGAAGGGATTGGGGAGATGGAAGGAGACATGGGTAACAATGGATAACAGAGGGGTGAAAGGATAAACATAGAGGGAGGTTGAAAGAGGAAATGGGAGAGAAGGGGTTGGGGGATGTGGAAGGTAGAAGAAAGTAAGGACAGGTAACAGGGGCCTGAGGGTGGATGCTGAGGGAAGTGTAGGAAAGAGGACATGGAAGAGGAAGGGACAGGAGGATGTTGGGGATGAAGGAGGTAGGGTTATGGTAGATGCTGGAAGGGAGTAGGAAAGAGTGTGTGGAAGAGGTGGGGAGTAAGGACATGGAGGAGGAGGAAGTTTGAACAGGCAATAGGTTCATGAGAGGGCTATGGAGGAAGAGGGAACTTGGGTGGGGCAGAAGGGAGGCAAATGGAAAATCTAGGAGGGTGCAAGGTGTGGAGGAAGGAGGGGTTGGACAGAGTAAGAAGAAATAGAGGAGAGGATGAAGAGAAAAACAAAATGAAAGATCAGCTATCTTTTTTAAGGGCTACTCTTATTCATTTTATTTGAAATCATTAACAGGGAGGTGGTAAGTTCATTATTTTGCAAATGGTTTTTGAGTAAATCATTTTGAATTTTTGTGGGATGTGTTCTCCTTCCTTGTCAACAGGTTCAGCTCATAGCTCCAAGCTTCTTTGAGAATGGAGAACTCTCCTTAGAGACAGGTATTATTCACAAAACAAATCTTCATTAAAAAAGGCTGTGGTTAGAGTAGCTTTCTTGTCCCAGATGAAATTCATGAACACTTTCAATTATTTTTGGCAGTTTGTCATGATATTGATCAGTGGCCCTACCCTGAGGCTGGACACACCCTACAGCTACCCCTGATGGGAAACGTCATGCAGGTATCAAAAATAATTTCTATTTAAAACGTTATTTGTTAATATTTTGTTATCTAAACAACTGCAATGTATATGTAAACTTAATAACAGGTGACCTCAGTCTTAACCCCTAAGAATGTGCGGCTTCTAATTTCTCCACACAGTATCTGCCTTTAATCAAATGTTAAGGCCATGAAAATAAAGGAAATGATGATGATAATCATCACCATTCATTTGCTTTTTCTAACAATTACATGAAATAAATTTATAGTATTGTAATTGTAAGGCAGGGAGACCTCAAGAAACCACTGGGCTTATGGGAGAGGCCACCTCACACACAACAATATGCTAAAAAAGAATAAGAGTTGCAAAATGGACAGCTTGGCCAATTCAGTGATTATTTTTGTTAAAAGTCTCACATTTTTGTTTTAAAACTAAGGAGACTCAACATTTTGAATGAGTGAGACAGGTTCACCAACTGAGGAAACTCCTGATCATCAAACAAATTCTCTTTGTCTATATTGTAGGAGATAACATAGAGAACAGTGTAGAGAATTCAATACTCATGTTAGGGTGTAGAGGGTTAATCCTTTGATTCCCAAGAGTGACCAAAAAGTAATTTCTCCTTTCACCATCAATGCATTTTAAAGCAGAAGGGATTAGAAGAAAGAAGATTATGAACTAGGGAATTTTGTCTGAGTTAACACCAAACTGTCAAAGCTAAGATTACGAGAAACATGAGACAGTGAGTAGAATTCATATTTAGGTCTTGAAATGGTGGCCAGGGATGAAAATGGTTTCAAAAAAAATTTTTATAATTGAAAAAGGGGTAACTGACAAATAGTTAGGTATACTTTGTATACCCTGTATACCTTCGTGAAGGGTTAATACCATATTGAATATTAATAAATACCACACAGGTGAATAGTATTTTTTGCACATGGTGATTGGCTAGTTTGGAAGTGAATAGTGAGTACTATTCACTTCCAAACAGATGATGAGACAAAATCAGGTGTCAAGGGGTTGATTTCCGATGATTTTTTGGAATAAACTTACTTTTTAGGTATCTGTGTGCTATAAACAATTATTTACCTCAGTGTTGGTGAAAGTGGTGGATATTTACCTTCAGGGGTGAAACTGTAAGCAGAAATTAGAAGCTACTTAGTCACTATCAGTGGTCAAAAGGTTACTGTGTAATTCAGGAGTGATATTTTAAGGAGAAATTAGATGCCAGTCAGAGGCCAAGAGTTAATTGATAATAGCTGATATATAATTTTTATCTTAATGTGTTCCAATTTTTTAGGTTCGAGTTCCATCAAGAGGGACAAACCAGGAGCTGTTTCCTCACCAGACCATCCTCTTCCTAATCATATTGTGGTGTGTTGAGTTTATTAATGATTAAATTTGATTTGTTATCAGTGAACAGTGTGAGAGATACAGAAACTGATTTGCTTTTTGTTCATTTTCAGCCACAGATGCCATCTCCTAAGGTTATCCCAACTCTGAAGGACCCAGACATCTTTAGGTACTGCAACTAGCTTTGCTCACTGGTAGCCATACTTTGAAAATAAAACCATCATAGTTCCCACATAGCTAAAACTGATAGCTAGAACTTTAAACTTTAACTTTCAGGGGAGCAGGGATGGCACGGTGGTGAGAGGGTTAGCCTCTCTCCACTGTGGCCCAGGTTCAATTCCCGGACCTGGTGTCACATGTGGGTTGAGTTTTTATTGTTTCTTCTTGTCCCTGCTTCAAGGGTTTTTCTCCAGTTCCTCCAGTTTTCTTCCTCCACAAAAACCAACATTCTAGGTTCCGATTCAGCCTGAAAACAGTGGAAAAGAAGAGCCACTTTGGAGAATGTCCAATGCAAAATCCCAATTATTTATTTATTTTATTTAAGAGTAGTAATTAAAAAAAGTAAATAAATGCTGTTCAGATTTCTCTTATTACACGATTTTACATTTTAAGTGAGGTATTTCTTGTTCCTTACAGTCAGGGATTGGAGGCTTTTGTAGCATGCTACCCTTAAAATCCTAGATTTGCCCCCAGTGATCAAGACATGCCCTCCCTAATCCATCCTGATTTCCAGACAGATTAGAGACAATGAACAATTAATTGTAGTTGTTTATAACATTTATTTGATTTTGATTTTCAGATGCTTGCAATCAGTTCTTCCACATATTCATCTCTTATGGGAGTTAGCATTGACCAATGAGGTAGTACAGAACTTTAACTTTCTATAGATTCAATTAACTTTTGGTATGGCATCCCTTTATTAATGGATTTATGCTTCACTTCCTTCCTATCAGCCTATTGTTGTGATGGCTCCTTCACCTACAATTTGTTCAGAGACTGTTCAAGCTCTTGCAAGGTAAATGAATTATTCTGGAGTCACAGATCCAGAACACACAGTTCATAGTACACATAATGTATGCATTTTGATTTGTACATGTATCTAATGATATGGTGGAAGTAAATAGATCTAAGTTGGGGAGTTTCAAAAGCCTGCTAAATTTATAGTCAGTATGTTTTCGTATAACTGTGTATGATAAGCCAAACAAAATAGAACTTTGTATGTGCATGTTTGAAAAATGAAGTTCACAGTAACTCTGTGATACCAAAATATCAAGTGCTATCTTATTACGAAGACGTTCTTTTCAGAGAGGATTTAGGACACTTGCACAAAACAAAGGCAAAATAATTATTTACTTATAATAAGGTGGCTAACACCATCACGTTCTTAAAAAGAGCATTTTCATTGGGTGTTGTAAGATCAAAGCCAAAGTAATCAACAGCCAATCAGGAGCCCTTGAGAACTCAGATGGAAAACAGGCAATTGTTTAAAGAGAGCATTTTATGTCTTGGTGGAGACTGCAGCAGCAACAATGTTGAGTTATACAAAGTTGTGTCAAGGTCCTGGGCAGGGGTTTGTTTCCTAGTTCCACTTTTTCTTGCATGCTCATTGCACAATGCACCATGACTACAAGTAAACATGCTCTGTTAATCTCTAGCTTGTTTCCTTTATCACTGGACCTGTTTCTTCAGACAGTGCCCTAGAAACAATGGCATAAGTTTTCAAAACTACAGCTGCAGTGTAATGACCTGATATGAAGCAAACATTTCCTTTTCAGAAAATGATGTCTGACTGATTATTTTGGGTCACTTGCAGTGAATTAAGAGATTACTGAAATGTTCATTGTATAGGGCTGATCAAGATGGTTGTTTGTTTGTTTTTTTATAGTTTGATCTCACCGTTACACTACTGTGCAGATTACAGACCGTTCTTCACTATTCATGACACAGAGTTTAAGGAATATACCACAAGAACCCAAGCTCCGTAAGTTTTTCAAATCTCTCTGCATTAGTATTTAATTCTGATAAATTGTTGTCCTTAAGGATGAGGTAAGTTAAGTTAGCATCTGTGATTTTTCCCCCATGGGCATACTCTTTAAATTAGCATTTTGATTCCGAGCCAGAGATCTCTATGGCATAATGGTGAATAGAAGGGAAGTAATGCCAATGATAATAATAATAATAATAATAATGATAATAATAATAATAACTAATAACTAATAATAATAATAATAACTTATAATAATAATAATAATTTGTAATAATAATAACTTTGGATTGTAACTGTGATTTTAGGCCAGGAGTCATTCTTGGGGTCACAAATCCTTTCTTCGCCAAAACTCTTCAACACTGGCCGCACATGGTCAGAATAGGAGAAATGTCAAATCTTGGTAAGTGTCTTTCTGAGTTTTGGAAACTCAGATAATTGCATTGTAAGCTATGAATACCCAGTCATTATGCAAACCTTTAGTAGTCTACTCACCTGCAGCATAGGAGATGTGTTAACCTAACAGTTAGTCAGCTGGATGCTGAATCTGATCTTTGTGTTGTGTTCTTGGGCTAAACTGTTTACTCTTAATCACCTCGTCACCTAGTTGTCCTGTTTCACCAATGTATTACTTTTAGCAATAAGTGCAAGTTATACAATAGATGACATTGGCGCAGGTGTACGTGAAGTGATCAGCGATCTTAATGAAGCTCTCGGGCCCCGACATGAAAGCAAACACAAGTTTCATGCAATAGACAGACATGTTTGGTTGTCACTTATTGATGTTATTTGTGATTGGTCATTAAAAGATGCAGCATGGAATCTATTTGTAAAATCAGGGCAAGTAGGTATTGATAGACATCAAGCATTTTTCGTCATTCATTGCTTTTAGTTACCTCGGTTTTCCTATAATACCATTAAGAGGCTACAGAGTAAGATTCCTTCCCCCCACCCCTCCCCGACTGGACAATCTTGCTCATGCCCCTTAACACGGCGTTTCGGTGTATTAGTTTCAGGACTGACTGACTGTCATTCTTCTCATTTCTTCTAGTTATATCATCAAGGAGATCTCCCGGTGTTGGTCAAAATGCCAAAAGAACGTTGTCGTCAAAGCCAGGTAAAGTAATGGCGTGATTGTGGTATAGGAGAACTTAATAATGATATCTCTGACGAGGAAGGTTCAAAATCAGGTTATTTTATCTTTTCTTTTATTTCTAGCCCAATCTGCTTCACCCACTCACTCCCAGGAACTGTACCTCTGAAAACTGCAGAAAAATCTGCAAGATAATAATTTTCCAAATTCTAAACACCTGTGTTCGTGACAAATTTTAGGGAGAATTTCTCAATTTTTTTCCTTGGACTTGGAATGAAAGAAATGACCGAAAGCTTTAAGTTAATATTTTCTAACCAACTGGACAAGAAATTCAGAAAGCTGAAGCTTGTTTGCTTCACTTTCGAAAGCCATGAATTAGAAGACAGCCAAATTTTACCCTGCAAAGAGTCACATTTTTAGTGCCGCAAGATGCTTTTTCTGCTCTTGAGACCAGTTGAGGAGAGTTTTGTGAGGGGAGTGGCACTCATGTTTCTCAGTGCTAGATGCGTTGGAGACCCCTTGCTGGCTTGCGTTGTTCAATGTCCTAGACATAACCACGGGCGAAGCAACAGTCGTGCAGTAGTAATGAGGGCGTGCTCACAAGATTTTAACAAGAAACTCCAAAGATTGGTATACTGCCATAATTTTTATATTTAGAGCCTTTTATTTCGCTTCAGGAATTTACACAAAGTACAAGCAATTTCTATCAAAGGATAAACTTATATTTAGAAGACTAAGCAAGGTGTGTATTGTGGTCTTATGTGCTATAATACCCTTAGATGTAACAGTAAACTTTAATCCATACAACTGCGCCGTTACTGAAAAACTCAGAAATATATGAAATGGCTTTTGAATGTCAATTGAACGTATATTACATATTGCCTTGAAGATCATATGTGTTTACTGAAATGTTGTATGAATGTCAAGACAAAAATTTTAGTTTTTCTGTTGCGTTTGTTACTTGTAATCAACAGGGTAACCATCCAAAAAGACCTCCGGAAGTTCAGGTAATGACCATGTTGAAAATTATTGGCTCTCTTTCTTGGTACACAAACCATGATGTCACTTCTTTAAAATTTTGATAATTACCATAAATTTTTAAACTTCTCAACAAGTGTAAGCCCCCCTCCCCTCCCTAGAAGAGGATAGTATTAGATAACTTGTTTCGAAAACACGGTTTTGTGACTGTGATAACTTGGGCTAATGTGTGTTTCCTTCCATTTTTTTTTTGTTCACAGAATGCCATTTTAAGGAGACACATGTTAGAACTTACACAGAGCTTCATGATTCCACTGGTAAGATTACAAAATAGTCTGAAACGGCCCTCGGAAAACACGCCTCATGTAGGTCAAATACAAATTGCGGACTCCGACCTACTCCTTCCCCCCCTCAGGATGTGTCTTAATCGTTCTCTCCAGGCCACTCCCCTCCCCCATTATCCGTTCTGCATTCTGTCCGACGCTTATTTTTTCATCTGTACCATAAATCAGATTAAGAACAAGGAATATACCGAGGCATTGAGGTGCAAGCTCGTATTCGAAAGAGCCGTCCGGTTCGGTCCAATTACGACTGAGTTAGTTAAAGCAATTATGAATCTTTCTCATAAAAATGAACGACAATGGTTTTTGAATCTCAACGAAACAAGCCAGTGATTTTCTCACTGATTTATGGTGTATAAGACCAGTAAATTGTTATGTTTTATCTACATATCGTAAACCCTTTAACTCCCACAAGTGATTAATATGCAACTTCTCCCTATAATATTCATACATTAACCAGCAAATAAGTATTGAGAGTACTCAGACTTATCAGGTGGAAGTTGTTATCTTGATCTCGCACCAAATTCTTGTAACTAATTAACAAGGAAATGTGCAGCAACCGAGGTGAGAATTAACAATCAGATCAAGGGAGTTAAAAGTTTAAAGATGATACTCTCGTTTTTTTCTTGCGCAGGAAAGATATGTTGCTAGTCTTATGCCTCTGCAAAGAAGCATCTCTCCTTGGAAGGTAAGAAATGGATGCTATTTGATTTAATGATATTAATGTGATATTTCAATCCCCTTTTGATGGCAAAATGCACATGGCTCGCGGTGGATTTGCTTTAGTTCGAAATACGGATTTCTGTTAAAAATTCATTGATCGTTTTTAATAGTGATTTCCGTCCTTTTGAGCATCATTCTCATTGTCTTTATAGGTATATCTCAGTCAATGTCATAGTTATTTACATTATCACCACTATCTGGTTATGTCTAGAAATGCACGCGGTAACGAAAATGGCAGATTTGACAAAATTTCGTCAAATCGAGCGAATGTTCATGGAATTGGCGATTTTGGCGAATTTTAGTCAAATTCTTCAAAGCGAAATCAGCTTATCGGATTTGACGATTTTGGCGAATGTTCGCCATTTTCGTTACTGCATGCATTTCTGGACATACCTCTCTCTATCATCATTGCAGCTTTCTTTTCATCAGTATCTCCACTGTATCTTTACTGTCAGCATCTTAAAACTTTGACTCCAATAAGTGACCAAGACAAAATTTCTCCTTACATTAACAATATATACTAAGCAGACAAGTGAGGAGAATATAGATAAAATATCAGTTAGCGAATTGTTAGTTGATCCAAAACTAAATTCTCCGAACTGATATAATGAGGATTGTATGAGGGACAGTAAGGAGAATTAGTAATGAGATCTTAGGACTGAAAGGGTTTTTTCTGTTTTTCCAAAGCATCCTCCTAGATTGCAGCCTTTTGATGCAGACGAATTTCTCACAACTTTGGAGCATTCTGGACCACAGTTGACATCCAGGTTGAAGGGGAACTGGGTAGGACTGTACAGGTAACAATGGAAATTCGATCACTTTATGAAGTCTTTGACAAACATAATGTAAGGGAAATTACTGAAATATGTTTTCAGTCGGAGTCTTACCAGTAATAAGCCGTTCAAACGTCAAATGCTTTTCTATGGAGCTACATAAATAGAATTTAACCCTCAGACTCGTAACTAATATATCGTTAATGAGGATATGATCACCAAAGGAAAAAAAACGCTCTTGATTGTTAAACAAAAAAATTCTCCTTGTCAGCACCCCAAGAAATGTGTAGAGACTAGAATGGAGAATATGCATACTGATGTTAGGGTGTAAAGGGTTGATATACTCGAGGAGAGCTAAAAGATAAAGTAGGCTGATATTATTGGGAACTTGCCCTGCACGCGTTTAGGATCTGAATGTCGATAATGTTCTATTTTGAGGACGAGAAAATAATGGTTGGTAAAGAATTGTGCCCCTCTCAATCAAGAGCATCTTTGAGTTCGTATCGTTTCCTTTCTTATTTCCTTTGTTTTGACCAGCTGTTATGATTACTTTGGTTTTACAACACTCAAGCGAGGTACGCTTCATGGAGGGAGTAGCTAGCGAAAAAATTTCTCACGTACGTTTTGCCGAGTGATAAACCTGACTTAAAACAATTCGGCGACAGTTTTAAGAGCTTTTCAGCGAATATATTACTTTGCGATAAACATCAATTGACAGAAACTGCCTGAGCCTAACTATTGCTTGTTAGAGGAAATTTTTGACTTTATGAATTGGTCGCTTGCTGATGTTTTGTTTTACCTGTTATCTTAAGGAAATTTTTTAGATCTGCAAACTTTGAAGGTTGGTTGAGACATCGGCAACAAGAGATAAGACAGAAGCTGGAACTTCTTCATCTAGAAGCCCTCGGAAAGGCTGTAAGTAGATTTTTATTCAATAATCCTTCGGACGCTATTTTACAATTTTTAGACGCTATCGCTTGATTTTGGACACCTTTGATTTTGCGCTATTGTCCAACCTCAGACGCCAATATTGACCAATGTCGGACGGTGTCGCTTAATTTTGGATACGATTGTCTGATTTGAGATGCGATCGTCTTACGCTGCCATCCGATTTCGGACGCTATTGTCTAATTTTGGGCGGCATCGTCCAATTTCAGACACTATCGTCCTATTACAGACACTAGTGTCCACTACTGTGCTGTTTTGTTGTTGCTGTTGTTGTTGTTTTTCTTAATGAGTTTTTCATCCTCGTTTTTACGTAGGATGTTGTAGGTTGGATAAAAGACAAGCAGGAAGTTGAGACAGTTGATCTGTTCTTACAGATAAAAGAGAAGCTGGTATGTTAAAGTTGTGCCTTGGCTTTGCTTTTGATGGTTTTTCTTTTTTACTCGCGCGACAGACTGCGTCGAAAATGAAGGACTTCCCGTAGTTTGTAGGTAATTCAGTATTATTAACTGAGTTGATAACGTAATTGGGCCACCGTAAAGAGTTTCAAAGCTGACGTTTCGTGTGTTAGCCCTTGGTCAGAGCGAATAACCTTTCGCCCTGACGAAGGGCTAACGCTCGAAACGTCATCCTTAAAACTCTCTACGATGGCCAAGTTACGTTATCAACTCAGTTGATAATACTAAATTACCCCGTTATACTCACCCACTGACGCAGCACCACATTTTCTTTAGAAACTTGGCTCCTTGTAATGCTGTGTGATGTGCTACATCGAGAGTTTTCTTCTTGGAATCTAATCAGCTTTATAAATATTTCAGGCTGGTTCAGCGTCTCTGTACCCTCCTGTGAGCCTTGATGTCAAACAACAGTTGAAAGGTCACCTTTCATCAATTATTAGAACTCTTCCTGAAGACCTTCAGTTTGTTTTAAAGAATAGCTAACAACAAAGACTTATTTACAAGGAGTACTCTTCGTTTTCATGGAGAAATACGCCTTCAAAAACAACATTGCGTTTCCAATGGGGAACTGCTACTATATTCACCTGCACCACTTAAATCATTTCCAACTTTGTGATGCATACATAAAGGGGGTTCATCATTAACTCTGTAGGCACTTTTAAACATTACAGTAAAATTTTATTTTTTCTAAGAAAATAATTGCTTTTCGCACGAGAGAGGTGGATGTGAAATTTATTTTGCCTTTTAAAATGTGATATAAAAGTTAAATAAATGTATCATAAATTCTTTAAACGGCCAATCAGAAGAGTGGAAAATGCCCACAGCGCGGGAAAAATGTGGGCGACCAAGTCGTCAGCGGTTTCAGTTTGGCATCTAATTGGTTAAGAGAGAGGCGCGAGTTTTCTGGATCAATCACAAAAAGAAGTAGAGTAACACCAAAGAAGTCTCGGATTACTTCGACATTCAATTGGAAAAATGCCTTTTCTCGTTATAAAAAGTTAATATTAAAGAAAGAATTATTTATGTTGGACCCGACCTTGAAACAACTAAATGACAATATTTTGATGAATTTTCTTATGGAGCGTCTGAAATATTTCGTGATGATTAATAAGTGTAGTAGATTTCTGTGTAAATAATATGTAGAGTCTATTTTTGTAAGTGGGAAGTTTTTATTTTGGAAATGGCGTAGCATGTAATTACATTTTAAAGATTTGTTAGCTCGGACATTTGTTTCCATCAATGACAACTGTTGGCAACAGTGCTGTATGTTTTATTTTTATACGTTCATGTTTAAGGATATCTCCACCTTAGGAACAAAATTGTTAGTTATGTGATCCGAAACGTAGATTTGCTGTAAAAAGAGGGAAGTAAGCACACACGTGCAGTATAACATTAAATAGAATTGTCAGCCATTTCGAATTTTGAACAGGTGTTGTAGTAGTTTATGTGGCAATAAGAAGTATACAAGCAAACACACACCGACATTGCAACGCGTCTCACCTCTGCCTCCACGAGATGCTACCTCGGTCGATTTCCTTCTCCCTTTCATCCAATATGGCGTCGGGCTCGGGCGAGTTCGGAGATGACTAATTACCACAATGTCTACGCCAAGGAGAGTGAGTGAGTGAGACGCATTTGCACATCGGAGTTCTCGCAAAATTCGTTCCTACGCTTCGCGTACCACGAGTTTAAAAGTCTGGGTTGAACGGCGAAAAAACATTTTCAAAACAGTTCTAAAAGGTGAAAGCAGCAGATTTCTTTATCATAAATGAAATTCAATAATTAAATCCTCGTAAGATCGACAAGACCAGTGTGACTAGAAGTTGATTAAAGATACAAACAATCCATGACTATGCAAGAGAGAAAAATTTTTAAACGATGGAACGAGTAGGCATACATAAAACATGCACTATTCCCGCCCTCGCGGGTCACGTGCGACTCACACCAGCGTCATTTGCTACATCTCTCTATGGTTTTCGCCGTCTCTTACAAAAGAGAGAGAAAAAAATTACGAGAAACTAGTGAGCAAGTCATAAACCGTTCTTTGTCATAATTATCTTCATTCAAGAAAGTTAAGTGGTGATCACAATGATGTGCTAACTCCGGTCGGCCGAGGATAAGGTCACATCAAGCAAAGACTATGCAGCCCGCACGGGGTGATTGGAATGATTGAAGCATTAATTTTTTTCGCTCTTTCCTAGATCCAGGTATCCTCTGGGACAGTATTGTAATCAGGAGAGCATGAGCTGATAGTTTCTTGATCGTTTATTCTCTGCTTCGTTCGCTATAAAGCCTTGGATAAGGTACTTTAGTAAGAAAACTTCAGTAGTTCTCCAGCCTTGCTTTTAGGCGGTATTGAGTTTCTTGGATGCCCTTCGACATTTTTGGGAAACTTAATCGTTTTGTCTCAATATGCAAGGACTGTAATTTTCTGTCAATCATTGTAAGTGGTTGGTTGCGTCAGTGGATTGTACTATATTTTCGTGCGGCTTGAAATAAGGACTCGTTCATGCAGAGTTACAGCGCAGACCGAGGATTGAAAAGGCCACCCAAGTCGCCCACTAACTTTAAGATGAGATCCATTTTCATTTTCCTGTTCGTTTTAAATCTTAGCTTGTTGGTCCCAAAGAGGAGTGCTGCAGGTTTGTCAAATCATTTTGTCTTCATCGGCTTTTCTTATGTACGTTGAAAACCCCAAAATGGACAACTCGCTAAAATGCGTTCTTTTCAATTCTTCTCCAATTATTCAGAGCCCACCTTTCTATAGACGGGCTGTAACAAATTGACTTCATCGGTTCTGTCGGCGATAAAGCGAATGTTAGTAATTCATTTCCTGTATTTCACTACTTGAAAATCAATAAACTCCTCAATATGCACGCACCTTGAAAACCACTCTCAACTCCGTCCAAAAAGAGCTTAAAAACCCTGGACAACAAAAGGTATTAGAGGGTTGATCAAGATAAAGAACGCTTTATTCTACTCTGGGAACTTAACTGCCCACAAACTCTATCGAAACAAAATATTAACGCTAAAGAGAATTAATAGAAAGAACTATTATCACAAATACTTTGAAGAAAACATTGTTAAGATAGAGAAAATATGAGAGGGAAATTGGCTCGTAGACCAGAAACGTGATGTTCGGATAGTAAATTTGAAGTAAAGAAGAGAAAAATTTGGAAGTGTTGGAGAAATCGCCTAGGATTAACGTAACCACGTTTCTAGGGCAAATACATGGATGGTCAGCTCTATGCTATGTAACAAAAGCATTTTTCACAAGGAAAATAAAAGAGTAACTGCTTCCCGATCGAGTCAAGTTTCTTTCTTTCCAAGCCTAGGGATTCATCTTCTCCTCGAGTCTCTAAATGCGTGTAAAATGTAGCAAATTGACGGAAAAGATTGAAAAGGAAGAATAATTTTATATATTATCAAGAAAGGTCATTTCTGTCGATTGTAAAAGCAGTTACGCTTAGAAATCAAAAAAGGCGTTTAAAACGAAGTTCAAACGGATCACTAATTCGAAACTATTTTCAAACCTGAAAGCGCATAAGCTGTTGCATGCCTATCTTTTTTTACAACCCTTAGTCGGGTATGGGTAACTGGCCTCTAATTTCTACAGTGTTACCCTTGAATCATAGACAAGGTCACGACAATAAAGGAAATGATCACCAATTTAAGAAGCTCCTGATTGGCAAACAAATTCTCTGTTTGTTTACTTTTGCGTTTTCCTCTTTACAAATCGTGCTTATTGTTAAATAATTGTATCACATCTCATTTAACTACTAGGCAGCCTGCTTCCAGCTGTATATAAAGTCAAATAAGCTGAGCAGCTGGTCCATACCGGTGCAAAAACACGTGACGCAAAAACAGGTGATTCCTGACGTTACATTGTAAATGTTGATTGACGACGAAAGGGATGGCTTATCAGCAAAAGGAAGAAAAAAACTTGAATGATATTTCTACGTTTCTCGTGAGTTCAACTTCATTTCATTTCTCTATTTTTGAAGCGAGCTGAGATGGAACTTAAGCCCTGCACGGTTTTCGTTCATCTGTTTTGCCCTCTGAGTAATCCTTTCCGAGATCCGTCTGTGAGTAACGCCAACCAACCGAACGAATCCACCGGAAGCAAAATGCTCTAAACTCGCTCTGCACGCTCTGATCACCTCCAGAACTCCACGTGCATCACGGGTGATGATGTTACTTTACGCTTGTGTTCCTCATTCCAGGGTCATGTGTAATGAAATGGAATTAAAGGATCTCATTTCACCCTTAAGCTTTGCTGAGAGCCTTTGGAGGAGGCTTTATTTGGATATCGCGGTTCCCAAACCGTTAGTGCTTTCAAATTACGGTTTAAATTAGTATCACTCGGGGTAGGTGACCGCTGATTGATCTGTATGACATTTCATATCCTTATATGGTGAATGTAGCCATTATTAAAGTCAACTGATAATATCTAGTTGGACGTCAAGGACGTTTAGAATACATCATTATAGCGGCGCTTGTTCACCGCTAGCTGGACCGTACAAATTCCACTGATCAATACAAAGTCCCGCACCAAACTTCTTTCGGAACGCCTTCTTTATTATTGTATTGTACCGTGAAGCTAAAAATTGATTTATGAAATTAGGGACACGCTAATAGATTAAGAAATGCTCCAGGTAAATCAAACTTACATTATTGCCGGATCTGGCGAGAGTTGATATCGATCGAGCCTTTCCTTTACTAATTCCTTTCCTTACGAGCACGAGTGCTTACCAAAAACTGATCAAAGGGCCTTTTTATCAAATATATTGAATTACACTTAAGAGCGCGTGACGAGTCACCTAGTGTGACTTTAAAATTGTTAACCAAATCAAACAATGAACAGAAACTCGTGCTATAGAGGAACTAACAATCATTTTTAACGTAACCTTCTTTCTACCCGAAAACGTAACTTCAAACAGTGTTAAGCATTTTTCACTTTTATCTATTTGATTACTTTTTATTTTTTTACAAAAAAAAACTGTCGTTTCCGCAGATTTTGCTGGTTGCGGAGGTTCCGCGTCTGCTGATTCACGGTTTAGTAACACCCAGAACCGAATAGTTTTGTTTTAAATACTGCAAGGAATGAAATTTTCTCTCAATCATTTCGAGTTGGTTACTTGGCGTAATTAGTGGGTTAAATTTCGGACACACCAAAGTAGTGACTCATTCCAGAGTAAACGCAGACTGTAGAGGACGTGCTCTACTCAAGTCGCCATGCTTAATCTAGATGTAAAGGAATGCAATTTTCTGTCAATCATTGTGAATAGTTAGTTGCGTCAGTGGATTAAACTATATTTTCGTGCGGCTTGAAATAATGACTCATTCTAGCAGAGGTACTGCGCAGACCGCGGATCGAAAAGGCTACCCAAGTCGCGTACTAATTTGAAGATGAAATCCATTTTCATTTTCCTGTTCGTTTTAAATCTTACCTTGTTGACTGTAAAGAGGAGTGCTGCAGGTTTGTGAACTCATTTTCTGTTTATCTGGGCGAAAGTTTTAAAATGAGACGAATTTTAATTGTAAATGGTATATTTATATCAATCGATCGGTGTTTCTAAGGTGGCGCATACATTCTGTCATCTCGCGTAAGTACAAAACAACCGTCAAAGCGTGGAAAATCTTATCGTTGCAAAGTTTGGATGAGTCCAATCGAAGTAGGTAAAATAATCCCTGTCAGGCAATCAGTAAGTAGCGCACCATCTCGCCAGGTTTCTCCGAGTCGTCGACTTATCAGCCCTTGCCTTGGGAGGAGAAAAATTTCCAAGTGTTGGGGAAATCGCGGACTCAGGGCATTTATTAATGTTAATTGCATGTATTGGGAGGAAACCTGTCGTCATTTCGGCTGATTTTGTGGAAGAGGTCGCAGAAATATCTTCCAAGACTTAAAAACCGCGATGTTGAAGGCAAGAATGAATGAGTTAAAAGGAACGAAATTTCATGACAACCTTCCGCTGTTGCTGAAGCGACAAAATTTCACTTCAAGAGCGAGGAACTAAATTAAATCCATGACAACCTTCCGTTGATACTGAAGCGACAAAATTTCACTTCAAGAGCGAGGAACTCAATTAAATTCATGACAACCTCCCACTTATGCTGAAGCGACAAATTTTCGCTTCAAGAGCGATGACGGCAAAAAGTCAATAAACTTATAGCAAAGATTTTACCACGCAAGAGCCCATTGCCTGGAAGCCTCCATACCAATTGTACCCTTGAGTCAACCATGTCTCATATCTTTTGATTTTTAGAACTGAGATATGGGAGGGGGGGAGGGGGATCTTTAATTTCCCGCGAAAACACGCTGTCGTCCGCACATAAATTATGTGTACCACATAAATTTGCGACAAAGTTCACATTATCTTTATGATTACTCCAACTTTAAAATTTCCCCTTGATTTACGATACAGTCTAAACTCTCTGGCCATTACAGACATCGAAGGATAGAACGAAGAATTCGTTTTAAAAAGGCCACCACGATGACGTCACCAAATTTAAGGGTGTCTATTAGAGACAGGCAGCCATTATTTATCGCCTGGGGTAGAAGGGGGGGTGCGATGGAGGATTTTAGGGAGGATCACATGATTTTCGGGGTGGGGGGGACATAAGGGGTATCAGTCATTGCTAACAGAGTATAAAGGGAGACTATAGAAAATTAACTGCCTGTGAGGGGGTGGGAGGGGGGAGGGAGGATCGTATGAATATCACAAAACCTTAAGGGAGATCAGATAAATTTCGTGACACATTTAAAATCCTGCACCATCCCCTCCCCTACTCCCAGGCGATGAATAGGGAGCGGTCCCTAATAAACAGGCTACATATATTCCGATTTATCATAAAGTTCGGATATAACGCGTGCTGTCATTCGTTGAAAGAGCGTGCTCATGAGAGTATAGAGCATAGAGCTGAGCTAAATTTTGTCACGCCATCTGCAAAATGTCCGACCTTTTCCGGGACCTCTCTCTTTGCTTTTGCGATAATTGAAAGTGAAATTTCGGATCAAGCGAGCTGGCAAGTAGGAACAGAAGAACCAAACAAAGGTTTGTAAACACGCCAGGCGCCGTAATTTACGTTCTCTATAACGTGAGCAGAGACAAAAATCCTAAAAGTAGAAACGAAATGGACAGTCCGAGTCTCAAAGGTTTCACGCTTAGTTAAATTGCAAGCTTACGTGCGGTAATAAAAATCAAACACAGCTAACACTCGCATAGTATATAAAATTTCGTGTTCAAAAACAAAACGGAACAAAACAGGAGTGTTTTAAAATATAGCCGAACTGGCATAATTGTTAAAATTCATACTAATCATGACGTGTCAGAACGAACGCGATCATGCTGAGGTCCATCGCGGCTGACTCATCATAGCGATCTCCAGTCATCGCAGTAAAGCACGCCTCGGAAATTACATCGGCCGCCCTTCGAGTGAACAACTAAGAGCTCGCTCTGACATCCTTTCCGATGCGTTGATTGGAAGGCCACATCAGTCACTGCAGCTGAGTTTTACGGCTTTGTCATCCCGAGCAATCTTCATGTTCCGGTGAATTTCGGCTGTCGTTGATTCATAACACACTTGCCTTTAACAGTTTGTTTTCTTGTTCTCATGTGAAAAAACTTGCGTGTTTTTATGAGCCACAATTCGGCTGGATTTCACTGAACATTTCACTTTCAGATTCTTTTTTAGAGACTACAAAACTTCAGGCAAAAGTGTTAACTTCGACCTGCCGGATTATTTCAGTTTGTAAACTATTGCAGAATGTGAAATTTGATGGTTTTTGAACTTTGGTGGTTTGACGTCTTTGGCAGCTGTAGTGTTGTTCAGCAAATCAGATTATTTGAACCATTCTAACTGGGATTTTGACGAATTCTCTATTATAGAACAAGTAGAGAAACCTTGACTGTGCTCTGCTCTGTTGTAAAGCACTCAGGGAACGGCCAGAGCACTCAAGATATCAAGTTTATCTCTGTGCTGCTTTTGGGACCATTCCTTATTTACCGCCGAGGGGAAGGGGAGGGGAGGAGGGGGGGGGGGTTTAAGGGGTATGATTGTTGTCGGGATCACATAGTTTCAAGGGGAAATGCTGAGGGGGGGGGGGATAATTCCTCGGTGACAGAGTATAAAGGGACGATTGTAAAAATTGGGTGTTCCCCTTTTTCCATTCATCCACTGTCCCCTCCGGCCTCCCCTCTTCCCTCCTTTAGGAGCCTGGCTACGCAGGTTACGATTTCTAATAGGGTCTATTGTTGGTAGAAATAATCTGAAACCTCCCCTCCCCTCCCCCAGGGCGATGAATAATGACTGGTCTCCAAGGAAAACAATTTCATAGGTTAAAAACTATAAATACAAGTGTAATGCATTTAACCCCCTAGTTGTGCTCTTGATCAAATGTAGTTTCCTGTTAGTCGTGTGCTCCGGAAAAATTGTAATTTGTCAGATTGCTTTTAAACGAGGGGTGCACCTTAAAAGTTAAAACTGCGTTTCAAGGGAAAATACATGCAGTGTCAGCTTTATGTTATGTAACAAAAGCATTTTCACAAGCAAAATAAAAGAGTAACTGCTTTCCGATCGAGTGAAGTTTCTTTCTTACTAGGCCAGGGATTCACTTTGGGGATTCATCTTCTCCTCTTCAATGTAAATGCGTGTAAAATGTAAGAAAATCGTAAAAGCAGTTAAATTTGAAATCAAAAAAGGCGCTTAAAAAAGAAGTTAAAACGGATCATAAATTCGAAACTATTTTCAAATCTGCAAGCGCATAGGCTGTTATGCGCCTATATTTTTTGAACCCTCAGCTGAGTATGGGTAACTGGCTTCCAATTTCTACAGTGTTACCCTTGAATCATACATAAGGTTATGAGAATAAAGAAAATGATCACCAATTTAAGAAGCTCCTGATTGCCAAACAAATTCTCCTTCCTAATACCACAGGAAATGTGAAGAGATTATGACTACTAATGCATGGTTTAAGAGGTTAATTTATGCGAAGTTGGTATGGCAACTAAGTTGGCGGGGTTGCTTACGTACTGACATTCTATCGAAACGAGCAGTCGATTAGTACACAATGCATAGAAGAAAGGAAATTGATACGACTGTGTTAACTGTTTGAAAGTTTTTTTACAATTAGTTGCAAAGAGGGTATTTCAACTAAGGAAATCGACGTACTTTACCTTCCAAATGGTGAGGGTTGATCAAAATTTGTAACAACTGCTCAACGCTTGAATGGTTTTACCACATTTTCAATGGCTTCCCTACGGTTTGTTTACTTTTGCGTTTTCTTTACAAATCGTGTCCTATTTCCACAGCCGGCCGGTCATAAATCTGGTAAGGTAAGGAAATCGGGCAAGAGTAGAAGTCGAAGCAGAGGAGCCAGTAGCAGCCCTTCGAGAAAAGGTGGAAAGAAAGGTGGCAAAAAGTCTCGATCGCCGTCCCCTTTGAAAACCAAGCGTGATGTGGATCTGTTGAGTCCTGATGCAATGGTTAATGGTTACTATATTGCACACAATGCTCCGCAGTTCCTGGGATTTAGAGGATTTGGCTGGGAAGCCGGAGGAAAAAAGGGTAAAAAGAAGAAAGGAAAAGGAAAAAAGAAAAAATAAAGTTTTGGTAGGTTCTGGAAGTAATCTCTTTGACGCCGGTGATTACCCATACATAATACTTTCACAAACGTCTCCCCAATAAGAGGGCTCTGCGAACTGTCAGCAGGAAGCAAAAAGAGGAAGCTGTGTTTGGCATGTGTTTGATGTTGCTTGCTTGAGTAAATTGGGCCTTGGAGTTATATTCCAGCAGTAAGATTTGCAATATTTTAAGGATCTAACTTGTCATAATTTCCTTAAGACATTATGAAGGTGTGAGAAGCTGTAATGTACATAAACTTATCACTGCGAATTTGCATGAGATGAAGGATTGTGCATGCTGAAGTGTTTTTATGTGAAATAGACCTGTTATCGACTTTATGTCAATAGATTAAACCCACCTAATTTTCCTATTAAACCTTGTAGCCAGGCCACCTTTGTCAGAGAGGATCCACCCTTATTTATCACGTAAACCCCCTCAATCAGAGGTGGGACCAGAAGAAAATGATTACTGTACAATCTCAGTAAGGGGGGGGGGTAGGCACTGGGAGGGGGCAGGGAAGAAGGGGAAACTTAAATTGGGTAGAGCACCTGGGAGGGTAGTGAAAGGAGATCCTGTTTCATGCTCAAATTTTAGAAACCACACCACCACAGTGCCACATTTCACAAGCCACAAATTTAAAAGGGAAAACTTTCCTTGCCTTTCTGTAAAAGTCATTGGTCACTTTTTAATTAATCTGTTTCAAGAACAGTCAAGAAAAAAATGTAAAAGTGCACAAGACAACCCAGGAAGGTAATATTGGTAGCTTTTAGGTTATGGTTCCATTAGGGAAGTCTGTGAAAATGCCACTGTAAGGAAGAAGTAATAGCAGTTTTATTAAATTTATTTCTTTATGTGAATTTTAAAATCTGTTTATTACCAGATACCCAGATTATCTTTCAAAACTGTCATGTGCACTTTTGTCCTTTTTTTCTGACAATCTTTTGCAGAGGTCATGCATTTGAATCCCATTCAGACCTTGTTTTTACTACTGCTTATGTAGTGTTCATTACTGCAAAGATTGCTTTCAATTTTTTTTTTCCTTCAGAGTTTTCAACCAGGCTAGTCTCACTTGTTTGAATATGTTTTTGGATCAAATGTGGTAATAAGTACTTTGTATATCTGGGGAAGGTGAATGTTTTGTATTTGGTTTCTGACTTGTAGCTGAAATGTGTAAGCTCTTGCTGTGTATGAGGTGTTTACTTATATGATACAATTCAAATCAATTAACTCTGAATACCTGCTTGTTAATTCTTCCCTATAGCTGCTACATATATTTCTTTATGAATAAGTTATGAGCATTAAGTGGTAGATAACATCTACCTGATTAGTTAGAGTATTACCTGTTTGCTGGATGATGTATGAATATTACAGGAAGAGGTTACAGGTTAATCGCTTCTGAGAGTAAAAGGGTTGAAGTCTCAAGCTGAAATGATTTTTGTATTTTGTGCCAAGTTTATCTCTATTTCTGTTTTCATCCTTTGTGTATGTTACCATCCTCGTCTAAAACTGATCTCAGTAAGAACGCCTTTGATTTGTGTTGCTTGTCAGTGTGGCTTGGTGACAGACTTTTGCAGATTTCTATTCAATCAGAAACAAAACAATAGAAACTAACCCAGAGAATTGTCAGCAGTAAATTTTGATATCATTTTGTATAATGTTTGATCTCATGGAACATATTTTGAATACAGTAAATTAATTGGGAAGATTATTGTAATTTCATTATTTATATGAGAAGTATAATAAATTACTTTGTAACAACACAAACAATTTTTGGTATTGTTAATGCTATTTGCAGTAATTGACAGAAGTTAATTGAAATTGTCATCTTAAACTTCATACAGGAGCAAGGCTAGAAATTTTTGAAAAGGCACTGGGTTCAAAGTTACAAATTCCCATGCAACCTTACATGATGTGGTTTTATGATTGCTCTTTCCTGTGTATGATCAAGCTCTTAATCATGCTGAGAGTAGGATCAGCAAATTGAGTGTTTACCATGTAAATTTTTAAGATTTGCACATTTTCAAAAACCTGTGTTTTTAGATTTGTGTGTTCTTGACACCAATAAAAGTATCTCACACAAGAGGATAGGATCATGGGAACTTCAGAATACCTCCCAGCTACACCCCTGTTAGGATACAATTTGCCCTGGGGAGGGATGGGAATGTCCCAAGAATTACTGATGAGCAATTGTAGCTGGAGTTGTCCACTTAGCGGATTTGGTTTGTGATTGTCTGTGGGCTGTTGTTAGAGGGGCTTGCAGTGAGACCCTCTATTATAGTTCAACCTTAACATCTGATTGTTTCATATTCTCCCCTCTAGCTGCTACATATTTCCTTGTTTCAAGAATTTGCTTTTATATCAATCAAGGTATATAACACCTTCAACATGACAAGTTTGAGTTTTCTCACCAAACATTTGGTGAATAATGTATGGATATTAATGGGAGAAGTTACATGTTAATCACTTCTGGTAGTTAGAGGATTAAGGAGTATTACCTATGGAGACAGAACAAAACACCAAAGTCCTAGAGAGCCAAAGATTTCAAGTGCACCTAAAAGAGGCTGGGAACTTAATCTTGAGGACCTTGGTGTATAGAACTTTATCAATGGAGTCACTTTACTTTGCATGCAAAACTTGGCACTGATAGAGAGTGGTTTTCCTGTTCCATAGGCTTGGCCAAATGTCACATGATTTGAAGATTCTTATCCAGTCCTTAATTCAGCCCCTTTATGTGACTTAAGAGCCACCATTGACTAGGGTTAAAAAAAAATGAAGAAAGATAGCATGGAAAATTTAAAAAAATTATTTAATTTGAGATCACTCACTGATTCACTTCTTCGTGATTAGAGTATTTGAAGTTCACCTGATTTTATTTTTCTAATTGGGTAGTAACAGTGATTGTCAGAACATGCATATGAAAACACAACTTGGTTGATAGTGGGTAGTTTCCAAAAAGGAAAGAAGATGCAAAGACAAAAACCCAATTAATTTTTTGTTTAATACCTTGTAAATGAGGTGACTTAGCTTGGTTATGGAAAAAAATATCAATATAACCCTCTCAATTCAAACAACACCTTAACCTTCTAATTTATTGATCATATGGTATATATTTAGAAAAAAGATGAAAGGAACTAAGCTAAAAGCAGGTGAGATAAGCAGGTGCTACCGCACCTTGCTTAAATCCGAGATAATAAATAGCAGCGAATGAGAAGAGTTCTTATTGAAATTACGATTCATTTCAGCCAATTAAAATGCGCGTTAGATTCACCAAGCCCTGTAATTTTCCATGAAAGAGGTACACCCCGCAGTTTGGTTAGCACATGCGTGGCAGCCCCACGCCAGTTAGTTCTATTGAGCAGCCGCCATCGCGTTCTCTTTTCCGCGCAAGTCGAACGGACAGCTTCTTTGCGCAGATTCAGAAACTTTGCTGAGTTATTTTGATCCTGCCGTCAAACCAGGTATCTTTACTGTGTTTAACCTAAGGCACTCGTCTTATTTCAGCAGTTATGGAGCTTAGTTTGTCGATTGAAAGTGTAAGTATGACCGCGGGGCTTTTGTAGCGAAAGGAGAAGTTTACCAGACGAAAAGATTGTAATTTTCGAACAAAAAGGGGCTTGCTCTCTCGCGATCAACCACGGAAATAGAAGCGATTTATGGCGATAGAGTGGGCTACAGCCGCGACATTTTGTTAATTTTTCTTGGGATTTTTCTGATGAGAAACTTGAGTTGTAGCGAAGGTTTCGACATGAATTTTGTATTAATTCGTCGCGTGAAGATTCAGTGAACAGTAATCAAAAAACTGGTGTAATTGTGTTCGGTCTCAAAGGTGACAGTATGTTTTGAATTATTTTCCCATAGCAAACTGGCTCAAGTCGGTCTTCATCAAGTGGGGTTATCCCAAGCTCTGACGCAAGGCAATTTACAGACCTTGCAGATGTCTCATTCCATGTCTCAGTCGATGAGTCAAATGTCGGATGATGAGCCATCTTCGCCGGAGTCGACAACCTTCGACGGCTCGGACCTGCTGAATTCCACGGTCGGCGATGAAGTCACAGCACAGCTTGCGGCAGCAGGGCCAGTTGGAGTGGCTGCTGCAGCGGCTATTGCGACTGGAAAGAAGCGGAAAAGGCCACATTCGTTTGAAACGAACCCTTCGATCCGAAAACGCCAACAAACTCGTCTACTGCGGAAATTGAGAGCGACGATTGACGAGTACACAACTCGAGTAGGACAGCAAGCTGTTGTGTTGTGCGTGTGCCCTGGAAAGCCAAATCCGCTTTTTAAGGTGTTTGGTGCCGTTCCTTTAGAAAATGTGGTTCGGAACCTTAAACAGCTTGTTCTTCAAGATCTAGAGCATGCTTTAGCAGAGCATGCCCCTCCACCTCCCCCAGAAAATCCAGATATCTACACACTACCCCCTCTTGTCATCGATGGCATTCCAACTCCTGTTGACAAAATGACCCAAGCCCAGCTCAGAGCATTTATTCCCATGATGTTGCGCTACTCCACTGGTCGCGGGAAGCCAGGCTGGGGGAAGGATTCAACACGCCCAGCTTGGTGGCCATCAGATTTGCCATGGCAGAATGTTCGTAGTGATTGTCGCAGTGAAGATGAAAAAGCCAGAATCTCCTGGACAAATGCTCTGCGACAGATTGTGAAGAACTGCTACAAGTTCCATGGAAGGGAAGATCTGTTACCAGCTTTCTCTGAGGGAGATGCCACACAGCACCAGTATGTACAGCAACAGCATCAGATGGTACATACCATTTCAAATGCTGATGGAACAGTGTCACTGATACAAGTAGATGCGTCAGGTGCTGTCAGCACTCTATCAGATGCAACCACTTCACAAACAGAAGCAACCCAGGCTGTGGCAACATTGGCTGAAGTTGCTGCAGCAACTCAAGTAGAAGTAACTCTTCCTCATCCAGGTCAGGGTGACGGAGTGGGAATTGACCAAAGTGATTTGTCACACACAGAGGCTATTGCACAAGCAGCTGTTGCCACTCTAGCAGAAGCCACCCTTGCTGATGGAGGGCAGATTGTTTTGCCAGAACATGCTGCAGCTGCAGCTGCAGCATTGGCAAATGTTCAGGATAACTTGAATACTTCTAACATGGTCACCATTCCAGTTCAGGCAGCAGCATCTCTCATGCAGATTCAAACTCATCATTTACCTGCTAGTACTCATTCTCAGTACATCTCTGCATCAGTTCCCCAAGTAGCAATGGCACCTCATTCGATAATTCAGACAGTGACGACCTCCACAATGGGACATGAAGTCCACACCCAGATAGTTGACACATGTGAAGGTGTCCCTGTTGCCACTCAAGCAGTAGAAGTAGTAACTCTAGAAAATTCACAAGATCCAATGAACTGACAGTACCATGCAGATAGAACAATGACAATGATCTAAAGCCACAGGAAAAATTAATAGTGTACAGAAAGAGTAGGGCCAAAAAGAACACAGAGAGATGTGATTCCATTATCTTATTGTTTAGAACAAGAAAAGCAATGGTATTGCAGTTGATTTTAAAGAAAAAGATTGATTTTCTCTTAGTTTTATTTAAGCACATTTGGTTTTAAACCACTGGCATGTCAATTTTGTTGTTTTTTAGTACTGGGGTGTATGAACCCTTGTCAAAATTGCAGACTGCAGACCTCTTTTACCAGAGAAAAGAACCACTCTGTCTCAGCTGAAATATTCTTTGAATAAGTGTTGATTTTTAAAAATAATCTCTCTGTCACAAACCTGGTTGGTCTGTTTTTATTCTCACTTAATCTTGAGCTAGATAAAAAGAATACCAACTGGACATTTCTTCATTTCACCCTGTAAGTGTTTTGAACTGAGACATTGAAACAAACAGCTGAACAACTTCAGAACAGGTCAGCAAACAGCTTCCACATGGGCTGCCCATCATATCACCATTATTTGATGTCAGTTCATTACAGTTCAGGAAGAAATAAACTCTTTTGTTGGGATTCAAAGCTTTTACTCTTGGAAAAGTTGATTACTTTAGTAATTTAAAAAAAATCATTGACACAACCTCTTCAAGCAAACAGGGGGAAAAAAACAGGGACACTGTTTTTAGGATGCTGTTAAATTTGATACTTAATTCTCATATGAGAAACTAAATGGTCTACCAGGAATTATAAAAAAATGAACAGGTAAATTTTGATTGTGGGATCTGGGGTGTGGAAGGGAAATTGATCTGATGTAGATTAAAAAAAAAAAAGAACTTGCATATTACCTGGTGTCTTGTGAGCATTCAAATGTTCTTTGTGGGGTATTTACTGTGAATATTTCTGGGCAGTGACTTGTGTATGATTAAAATTAAAAATTATTGATATCATCATCATTTGTGACTAATTTGTGTTGTGGTTAATGATCATCTGTCTTGAGGGAATTTTCATTCCACTCCCATCTTAGATTGAGGATAAAAAATGTTTTAGTGTTCTGATCATCCACATCCTAAACTCAATAGAGAAGAACTTGACTTGATTTACTAATAAAATTTAAAAAAAAAACTAACTGCATTTGAGAGAGAAACATGGATTAAATATTATCTGACAGACAATACTTAGTTTTCTTTCAGTGCTAGTGCTTCAATTGACCACTCAGTACAGGTGGAGAACAATTCAAACAGGCCAATGGGACTTCCTAAAGGGTTACCACAACCACCGAATAGAGATGAAAATGACTAATAAAGAGACAAAAATTTCAGGACTTTGAAAAACCAACTTCTTAATATGGTGTTGCTTAATACAGGTTCAACTGTAATAATCATTATAATAAATTAGCAGTGGACATTCTGCAAGGTGGCTCCCCCTGTCTAGTGGTTCTTGGAAAATATAGGAATGTTGGTTTTTGTAGAGGGAGGAAAACCAGAGGAACTGGAGAAAACCCTCAGGGCATGGACAAGAACTAACATCAAACTCATCCCACATGTGACACCAGGCTCAGAAATTGAACAAGGGGCCACAACAGTGGGAGGCAAGCACCCTAACCACTATGTCATTTGTGCTTACCATTAATGTTACTGAGAAGTGGCCTGTGTGAGACATTTGTCGACTGAATCATCATCAAAATCTTGTCATTGTCACATTATCACAATCTAATGAGAAAATCATTTACCGTTTGACCCTAAGAGTGACTAACATCTAATTTCCTTGTATGATATCACCCCTAAATCTGACAGTAAGGTCATGAAAATAAGCAAAATGATCACCATTTAAAGAAGCTCTTGATTGTTAACCAAATTCTCCTTCTCAGCACCTTAGGGAATGTGTAAAGAACAGTATAGAGAATATGCATACTGATGTTAGAGAGTAAAGGATCATGGGTATTTGTTAGTTGTTAAATCAGCATACTCCTGAATGCAAATTGAACCAGTGGGTAGCAAACAATATTGTTGTGTGATGGTTTGAAGTCACAGATTGACAACCTAAATGGGAATCTGACCATCATCATCAGACTTCAGTTGAGAATTTGTTAATGTGACAAGGACTCTAGTTGCAACAAACCAAATGTTGTCACATTTTACTGAGGCAACAGAGCTTTTGACTTCCCTCACTCATGCAATCAAAATTCAAAGTAAGGCCTGTTTAACTGGTACACTTGTCCCAAACAGGAGGCCAAAGGCTGATGGGAAAGTAATAGAGATTTTTGTACTCTAAATCACCAGCCATTTTAATCCTTGACACTTAACATCATTATGCTTAATCTCCATACTGTTCTCTATACATTTCCTAAGGTGCTGACAAGGAGAATTTGTTTAACAATCAAGAGCTTCTTTAGTTGGTGATCATTTCCTATTTTCTCATGACTTAATTGGTTGATTCAAAGGTGATCTTGGTAGGAAAAATTAGATCCTAATCACTTCTATGGGTCGCAGAGTTAAAGACACCCAAAGGAAGCTCTGGACTTTGTTACAGAAAGCACAAAGGAAAATTAATGGAATCTACAGTAAAATATCTCTTTAGGGGTTTGATGTAAATCATTTCAGCAAAAATGCGTAGAATTACATGTTAAGACATAAGATGTATCTTAACAGACATGGTGAAATGGCACAATTTTATTGAATGCCACCCACTTACATTGTCATCAACATGCTTACACTGATATCATACAACAGCTGAAGACATGGGAGCATGGGGTATAAAAACAAACCAAAAAAACCACAGATGACAGTACGCGTGTGTTTAAATAACTTCTTCATCTGAGAAAATTTTTTAGCAAACTTATTATTTAATTGACTCGGTAAACAGGCAGCTTTTCCATTTATTTAATTATCGATGACATGCTTTGCACTTACTTTGGAAACCTGCTTAAAATTATTAACCATTGCCTGGCTTAAGGACTTATTAATCATGATTACGAAGTAATTATGTCTTTAATACATGGACATCTGGTTATTGCGAGAAACGATCCTCACTGTCTAGTGAGACCTATCTACCAACTGTTGCTTGGCAAAATACTCTGGTCACTGCCTCTTTAAAATTTTAAATAAATGTAAAGAAAACCTAACTTAAGTGGTATAATAAGGGAGTTTGAGCTGTTGCTACGGCAATGCCTAGACAGCTTCGCCAGCTCAAAAAGAGAAATAAGATTATTTTTAAGAATTTTACAAGATGCTTAATGTGTCTCCTTTCTGTAACAGCGCTAAACGTTCCATTAAGGTTTTAAAAATGTAAAGGCAGCTTTGAGTTTATCACCAGGGTTTCTGTAAACAGAGTAACTACATTTCATAGCAATGGCTATGAAATGAACAAAGTTTTCAAATGGCTGTTCCAGTCATTGTTCTGCTCCTGAAATATTTCCTACTCTTTCATGACATTATTAGAGCTGTCACCTTAAATTACAAAACCCATTATGGGCACCAGAGGTACGAATAACAACTTCTCCTATTTTTTGCACTTTGTATCAACACCCCCTGTCAGGTTTAAGTAGCAATATTAAAACAACTCTCAAACAAACCAACTTCACTCAACAAACAGTTGGCAGATAGATCCTACACAATTACCATATTAGCGGCCATAAGCAACAAATTAACACCTCTCTTATACAAAATATAACTTCTTACGATTTATTGTGAACAAAATCAAGCCATGCGCACATCAGCCAATAGTTGGCTGTCTGTCTGACCAACCAAATTAATTTTTTCCTACATGTATGTGCATATGATGAGAATGTGACACAGCCCCACATGCATGAAGCTTTTATCCAGAAAAATACGCAAGGCAAAATATCACATGCCTCTTTAAAAATGGTGTGCTATGAGGAGTGATCCATGAAAATGGACAGAGTTTACCATTACATTATACAGGGCATTAGACAAACCTAAACAGTTTGTACACAGGTTTTCAAAGGGTTAGGAAAGAGTGTTGTGATTTAGAAAGATCTATATTCCAAGAAACTCTACATCTAGTTTTTCATTTTGAACTACAGCATTATTTGCAGAGGTAGGGCAGACTAGGGTTGGACCAAAAGTGGCAAAATACTGCTGTCTTTCATAAATAGCAATTTTTAAAAATGTTCACTGAATTTACAAGAAATTTAACCATGGCTGTTGTGGATTCCAGTTCCTGGCCATTAGTATCTGTAGAAAAATAATATTCTTGCTTAGAACAGAATTAACTTTAAGTTGTGAATGATAAGTCCAGACATCAATAAAATAATTATTAAGCTAATCCTTGTTGTAATTTCTCAAGGCATTTTGCTACTGGATTTACTTCAGAATAAGAAGGAGAGATTGAGGAAAAAAATAGTCTTTGTATGGAAATTCCAAAAAAAAAAAAATCCTGTTTTTATTTGAATCAGAGATAAGCTTTGAGGGGTGTGTGGCTTAAGCACCATGCTATGCTTCTTGAAACAATGAAGCAAAACAAAACTCTACTGCCTTGCTACTCAAGCTCAAGCTAAGTTAAAAATGGAGAAAAAAAGAGACAACAATTGATTGGGCAGTCATATTTCTTCTGGAGAAGAAGTCCTGAGATGGATTGTTATTGGTAGAAGTGAGTTATCTCTCAACAACCTTAAGGAAAGTCTTTGCTCGTCCAACACAGAGCCCAGTGCACTGACCACTGAACTACTGGACAAAGCCGTGGCATTGGCGTGCCTGTGGTACAGTTGACCACGCATGTTAAAAGTAGCACCTTGTACGGTTGTACGGTCGTACAGTCATACATCCAAATTTTTTTGGCTTGATGGGTTACTACTATTTTGTATAATTATGGGGCTATGCTCTGCAAGCTCCGCCATCATCTCCTGAACAATAATTTTTAGACTTCAAAATTAAATCTTTCTACCAAGGTCAAACAATTAACTGTCAAAGACAACATTCTCATTCCAACCTGTAATAATTGGGCTTGAAAGGGCCATTCTTGTTGACTCCAAGATATTTTGCTTGTTCTTCTGTCAGCTCTGTCAAATGGCCATCAAACGTTGGCAAGTGCAACATTGCTACATACTCATCTGAAAGGCAAAAGATGGCAATAGAATTAACCTTTGTATAAATAATATTCCTAAATGATCATCTTGCATTTCTTGCCAGCTGTTCCTGACAATTTAGTGTTCCATCAAAAACCTGTCCTCTTCTCAATCATTTCCTTACTTCCCCCGACCTGTCTGTTTGATAGAGTGTGACAACTGTAAAGAAAACTTACACACTGATCACTTACCCATCTTCTTGGGTAGAAGATAGACATCATGTTTATATCTACCAGGAGGTGCCTTGAAAAGTTCAATTAATGCTATGGCCTGTGAGAGAAAAAAAATTAAACATAACTTAGTACACACATCAAAGCTCGCATTGTTAAAATATTTTTCAAAGACATCAGACCAAACTTTATTCTTACTTGTGTTGTTGATGTAATTGACACTACAAATGAAGGAACACTAGAGCAACTCAAATTGACGAGGCGACCCTGCAATAAACAAAATGAATACAGTCAATCTAATAACTGAGAGAAGATTGGTCACCTGATGGTCGTGTACAATATGTTAATTAATAAATGTGTTTCAGATGGAGGTAAGAAGTGCTGAAGCCACAAGAAAATTTAAAGTAAACAGTGACATCTATAAAAACATTACTAGTTACTGCATTTAACACTTTACACCCTAACAAAAGTATGTATCTTCTCTACGCTGTTTTTTATACATTCCTTAAGTCTTGAGAAGGAGAATTTGTTTAACAATCAAGGGCTTCTTTGGCTAGTGATAATTTTCTTCATCCTCATCATCTTTAAAAGTGATTCAGAAGTGAGGAGAAATAAGATGTTAGTCACACTTAGAAGTCAAAGGGTTAAAGTCATTTTCTATTTCCATCACCTCAAGGTTTTTTTTCTTTTATCGATTTTCAAGTAATGTGAAATGAAACCTTCATGATTATTAATTTCAGCAAAGAGAGAGAGGGAAGAATTAAAAAAAAAAAATGAAAAGAAAGACAGTTAGTTACAATACCTCTGCCAGCAACACAATTCTCTTGCCATCTGGCCAGATAATATGATCTACTTGGGTTCTGACCTTCTCCCACGTCAGATCAGAAGTTCTTAAGCTAGCCTGAAAACCAAGCCAGAAAAGTATTACTACATAGCTCTTACAGGAGCTAAGCCATGCTGTGAGTTTGCACAATGAGATCTTCCAGTTTGACACTGATAGGCACCAAATCCCTATTGTTCCTTATAGTCGTGACAAAAAGCAGAGTGCATTATTGTAAAAGCTGACAATCACAAGGTTGCTAAATGGGGAGTTTGACAAAGTTGAGCTCAGAACCTTGTTTATTATTTTTCTTAGTATCTTGCAAACGTTAGTTAGTCAATCAGTTCATCTTACCACATCAATTTCTGTATTTGAATGCCCCATGTTGCAAACAATACAGCCATTCTTCATTCTGTCCAGATGATCTCTTGTAACAACATGCTTGTTGCCTGTCGTGAAATGGAAAACAATGCAAAGAGAAAACTTGGATAAGCAAAGTTTGTTGACATTAAACCCCTCCATTTTAAACATACATTCTGCATACAGGATATCTGTTCCCCTTTTTTAAGCCCAGCACAGATTTCAAGTATTTGTTTGATATGTCATACATTGTAGCTGAGCCAAATTTGTGATACTTACAGATGCAGTTTATGAAATGGCAATTGAAAATTTAATCCCAGCAAACATTTCTGGCCACTTCGGCCCCAAAGAGAATGTAAGACATTGTTTTCAATTTCAAGCCTGATTATGATATCACATATCAACCTAGACATTCAAAAATTAAAAATGTTCAGGCTTTTCCCGTCAGATACCTGTGCAAGTGATAAGGATGTCAATATTCTTCACCACCATGTCAATCTTGACAACTCGGAATCCATCCATGCTAAACAAAATATTAAAAGAAGAAAAGTAATTTTAAAAATCAAGTATTTAAAACTTGGAAAAAGATGATTTTTGTCTTGTCACAAGCATGGGACAAAGCAAATATTTTGAGCCCCCATGAGGAATGGAACCTCAGACCTTTGGAGTCAGTGTTTCAATGCTCTACCACTGAGCCACAGAGACTCTATGGTGAGCAAGGCCCATTACCAAGTTCAATTTCTACAACATACACCACAGAACCAAGACCTAACACTTGTTTCAATCTCTGCAAGGCTTTCAATAAAGGTCTCTTGAAATCATTAATGCATGTAAAGCCAGATGTGCATCGCAAACTGAGGATGAGAGAGATGAACCTACCACGCTTGCAGACCACAGATGGGATCAATTTCTGCAACATACACTACAGCACCAAGACCTTTGAGAGCTGAACAGCAACCCTTACCAACCTGGTAAAAAAAAAAGATCAGTCAGTTACTATCACAATGTATCACTTTTAAAAGTAAATTCATATCAACCCTAACAGCAGTATGCCTATTCTTGATACGATTCTTCACACATTTCCTAAGGTGCTGATAGAGAAACTGTTTAACAATTTAGAGCTTCTTGAGTTTGTGATCATTTCTTTAGTCTTGTGACCTCAATGTGTAATTCAGGGGGGATATTGTAAGGAAAAATCCAATACTAGTCACTCTTGGTGGCCTATGGGTTTAAGCAAAGCTCAACTTATCATTTACCTCACCATATCCACACACAAGAACCTGTTTGCCACCAAACATTACATCTGTGGTTCTCTTTAAACTACAAAAGAAAGAAAATTAATTCCAACTTCTTGGTTTCCTGGAGAAATAAAACCATAGTCTCTTCTTAAAAATTTCACATATATGGTTTACAACGAGGTCCTGTATACCAAAAATAACAATTACAATCATAATAACAGTAAGAAGAATAAAAGTTGCACATATATAAATAAATAAATTATAATAGAAAATAACAAGATGAAGAAAAAATAAAATGCATAAAGCTAAAAGCTAAAAGTTGAAAAATGTTAACTGTTACATATTTTAAATCATATTTAATCATAATATATCTCTTAGAAACTCTGCATAAGTAAAGGTGGAGATATGAGAGGTAAAACGCTACTCAAAATAGTTTTATTTGTTTTTTTTTTGCATGTCAGCTATCACAATGAAGAATGGTGCACATACAATATATGTGTGAAATTCCTGTAAATATTTCTAAACAATATACTTACCTATCTAAGATTGATTCTCTACAGCAGTACATGTTGTCAAACTTCGTCTACAAATACAAAATTTATCAAGGTCCTTGAGTCAGTCCTCTTCACAATTTTTATCTTATAATGCCAATTGGAAATAATTTTTGTCAATTTGTATTGAAGTCTGAAGTTACAACAACACTTACTTTGGTGACTGAGTCATTAACATTCATTGCTGCCACTGTTAGTTTTCCTTGCTTGGAAAGCTGGTACAACCTTCAATGAATTAAAACAAATGTTAGGGTGTTAAGGGTTAACCCTTTGACTCCCAGAGGTGATTAATATGTACCTTCTCCCTATACTTTCCATACATTATTCACAAAAGGGTGATGAGAATATTCAATATTATCAGGTCAAAGTCGTTATCTTGATCTAACACCAAATTCCCCTCACTAATTTACTAGCAAATGTGTAGCAGCTAGAGGGGAGAATTGAAAATTAGATCCTGGGAGTTAAAGTGTTAAGGGTGAAAGGTTAAAGGTAAGAGGTTAATCATCAAATCTAACCTGTGAACCCCAGTAACACTCTCTTCCACTACTCCACGCAGTGTGTTAAAAGTGCCATTAAATTTCTTGTACAAAAGATGAGTTGCATCACCGCCATCATCCAGTACCATGTTTGGTTGCCATTTGTCTGCCGTGATACACTGCTCAATGCACCACCAAAAATCTTCCTCAGATTCTCCCTTCCAGGCAAAGATGGCGTAACCTAATAAACCACACAATGAAAAATTTACTTCAGGCAAGGAAGTAAAGATGTTGCATGTACTTCACAGATTTTAGAGCAAATATCCAGAAGTTGATGAGCAAGATAACCAGCTAACCTGCTTCAGCCAAGGCTGCAGCAACCTCATTCTGTTGAAAATTAAAAAATCAATTCAATGACATACAAGTTAAAACCAATCAAGCATATTCTTCTAAAGAAACTCTTGTGACAGAACTATGAGAGTAAATAATTTAACCCATTCACTCCCTGATTTAACTGTCAATTTTCCCCTGTAGCTGCTATACATTCCCTTGTAAATTAGTTATGGGAATTTGGTGTTAAATCAAGATAACAACTTCTACCTGATAAGTTTGAGTATTATAATTGCCTGTTTGTGGGATAATATAGGGATATCATAGGAAGACGTTTCATGTTAATCACTTCTGGGAGTTAGAGGGTTACAATTTTACACTTTTCAAACTAACCTGTGTGGAGTAAATGTTGCATGCACACCAGCGAACCTGGGCACCAAGAGCAGTCAGGGTTTCTATCAAAACCTGAATTGTAACAAATATGAAAAAGCATTAATACATTTGATTGTAAAGAATGTATTTACATATAAAACCAGGAAGTTGGCAACTAATTATCTATCAACAATCCTTGGAGATTTTATTTCCTCAAGTCACTAAAATGCTGAACTTTACAAAAGTAGTTCCAAAGGTCTTCACTGCATAGAAAAATAAAAATTAAAAAAAAAAACTTTCTTCAAACTATTATCAACTCTTAGACTTAAAAAAGATTGAAAATCACTTAGCTTCAAAATGAAACATCATATAACACAAAACCTAATTCCAACAGGTTGATTTTGTAAATTTAACTATGAAATTCTGCAAATCTCCATGGGAAAAGTCATCAAAAGTTGTTTACTTACTGCGGCCTGCGCAGTCACATGTGTGCAACCAACAATTTTAGCTCCATCTAGTGGCTTGTCTGTGCAATTCCGTTTTCTCAGGAGCATAAGACCTGGCATTTCTGTTTGGGAAATAAGTATAAGACAGGTGAATATTCAACTTATTTACTTGTGATCACTCTAAATAAGGTTAATAATGTTTTTCATAATAGACTAGAATGTAATGCTAGACAAGAACCATTTTAAATGGACCACCTTAATTGTGTTTCAAATCAAAAATATAACAGTCCTAACAAGAAAAAGAAAAAAAAATTTCTTGTGAAAGAAATGGTATACTCCTTTTATTTTCACCATCATAAGCACTTTGAAAAAAATTCGTACAAAGTTCTCTTTAACTTCAAATATATTAAATGGGATTTTCTCCTTTACAGCTAAGATCTGTTTTGGTTCAAAATATTTCAGGAACCTCTCTATCAAATTTCAAATGATTTTCAGATTGAGGATCCAAATCAAATTAAAATCTGACAGGTAACTTTCACATGTTTAAGTTCTGTAGGATCTTAAAATCTAACACTGTAAACAAAAAGAAAAAGCTCAAAACAAAGATTATGTCAAATTGAAGAAAATCCTCTTGTGCTGGTAAATTGAGACAGTGTAATATTCACTACTAATATGCAAATGTGGGAAAACAGCCATTTCAATAAAGGCAGACTTCAGTACTACAATAAACAATATGTTACATATTAAGTTATTAAAGGGTATACTGGATTGGGTTGGAGTATTAAAAGACAGTGAACAAGTCCCTCTATCACAACATAAATTTCTGCTTGCCTTGTTCAGCGATTTCAATTTCCCTGCGACCAAAGTCAGCCAGCTTAATATTCTTAACACAAAAATCAGATCCACCGCTGCTGTTTTTCTGCACATAGAAAATGGATGTATCATACTCTAGCCTCTATATTGCTTCAACTGTTACTAGAGTCACTTCCCCTATCACTCCCAAGATCTTATCAGTAATTCTCCTTAGAGTCTGCCATACAATTGTTTACATGTTGGTCCAGAGACTTTGGTATTAGATCACCTTATAATCCCCTAATTGAAATTTTTCTTCATTCCCATCAGTTGTCGACTTGATAATGTATTGATATGGTAAAGAGAAATTCTGACTTGTTCACTCATGAAAGATAAAGGGTTAACTATCTGAAAAGATCAACATGAATTTTCCCCTTGCAATTTTGAGATAATCAATTGGAAACAAGAGATGAGAAAAGGCAAACTTTACAGCGGAAGGGTTTCATCTTGATACAACACCAAATTATCATGTCTTCTCTAAAAGGTAATGTATGGCCATTGGTGAAGAGAATTACCATTCAATTCTTGGGAGTTCACAGGTGAAATAAATTGAACGGTCACAATATGAGAAATGAACAATGATTCCAGATGCACACAATTTTGTCACTCACTACTTTGGATCAAAGAAAAAAAACAACAAAAGGTCTTAATGGAATTCATGGCTTGTTTACTACAATTGAAGTTGGCAGTTTGGTACAGGTGACCCTAGCAACAATAGAAATAATATGAAACAAACTGTTACATTATTTTTCCTCTGTGAACATGTATGTGAAAGATGCGCGTATTTGTAACAGTTTACATTTAATAAGAGAAAAGTTAGCAGAAATGTCCAAAGCAAAATGAAATAAACTGAAGAAATAAAATGGTAGCATAACAAGGACATAACGATGAAAACAAAATAAAAGTATGAAGAAAGGTGGCTTAGAAGCACAGCAATAAAGCAACAGCGCAAACAAAATTAATAGAGACAAACAATTAACCATTTCATTTATCTACAAAATTGTGATGATTAAAAATATTTTCCACTGCACTGAGGCTCAGGTTTGATTCTTGCATCAATACTGGTCAATTTTTTGCTTAAAAAAAATTAAACCTTTTCGTGGTCTGAAATGTTAGTCTGCAATTCTATTACTTGAATCTCCTCCTTAAGAACAAAATGTTTTAAGTGCAATTTTTTTTCTTGGTATGTCTTACTAATTTTGCAAAAATTGAGAAAACTTAAGATTCAAAGTAAGAAATGAGATGCTCATTAACTGGGGGGAATTTTAAAGAAAAGAAACTTGACTGTACAATGAGAAACAGTTCCCATCCAGTATGTTTCACCTGGCTAAGGATTACGGAGTAATCCTTAATAATTAACAACAAGATTTGTTCTCATTTTCACAGTTCTGTGCTATATTTATATGAACAAGTATATTTTAAGTTGCCTCAAAACTATTTTGGGTTGGTAAAAGCTGACTATATTTGTATATTGTGATAATTTAGAAACTGCTCTTAAAATGTGTTGCAGCCCAAAAAATAAATACTAGTATTTATTTGTACAGCCAACCATGAAATTTCTCCATGTACATCTGTGGTTTACAATAATTCTAAAATGCAGATGTGCTTCAGTGGAAGAAAACCTCTAAGCCCATTTTACGTCAAATGCTATAGAAGAAAATATCTTTGAAACAAACAGCCAATCTCTACACAATTAACAAATGAATACAGAACCAAATTCCAATAGATGCTGGCTATATTATCATACACTCTACAAAAGCCAATATAGTTAAGCTGAGTCACATAGTACTGCTTTCATTGCATCTACGCATACAACCTTCAAAAACAAACACTATTAATAAAAGAAATAACAATCCGATGGTCCAAAAAGGTTTAAAAATATTGAAATTTTGTTTGGAAACCGGTCGATTCGTTTAAAGAACGCTCATTACGTAAGCATATGACGTCATGTTTGGCTAATCGGTTGCACTTCACTAACTTTACGAGTCTTTGAACAAATTGCAAGGTCCATATCGTCTGGATATATTTTCCTCAACGAAAGTGTTTTCGTTTAAAACCACAGAAACTAAGACAAGAAATTTGTACTGTTTCTATCTACGGGAGACTCCCGCCGATTTTTTTTATTATTTATTTTTTATTCTAGCTATCGATCGACCGGGTGGTTGGAGTTCATTTATATATTTATTTTTTTTAGTTAAATTTACGCTCGCTGCTTTCAGTCTTAATTGCCGCACACTGCTTCTGCTGATTTTCATGCGAAGTAAATCTTCACAAAAAATTACACATAAGCTAAGAACTCCCTACACTGTCGATCCAACATTCGATCAATCGAATCAAAACACCCGGTAAGCTCTGCTTATTCATTTCTGAACAAAGTTTTTTATGCATATGTTATTAGCTAGCATTCAGGCTATTAGCAGTGGAAATTGAAGGCGAAGAAACAGGCAAAGAGTTTGTATATAAAGTGCTTTTGTTATAAATTTCAAGAACATACCTGAGATCTTTCCCTAGGAGATACATCGTCTTCATCTGATGAATAGCTGTCCGAGTAGCTAGCTGCAAGAAGGCGAATATTGTAGTTTTAATGACATGAACTGCTGCTTGCAGATAAGCCGTAGGCATAAGTTATAAAAAATAAAATTGCTTAAGATTCTACTTGTTGTGTATAGGAAGGTTAAGAGGAAACCTACAATTCACAACTTCTGTAAGATAAAGATTTTTAGTACTGTATCAATACGATTACAATTTGAAATTAAAATAAAGAGCGGCTGATCACATCCCAAAGCACGAAGACGAATGAACTGTTAAGAAATACACCCTCTTGTACGAGAAATCACGAAGTATAGATTTCTCAGACGAAAGAGAGAAGAATCAGAATGCGCCAAAAAATCATTAAAAAAGAGAAGAATTCATGCTCGCTTCACCTGAGCTTCCATAACTGTCTGTGGAAGACACCGAAATTGAACGCCTTCGAAGGCGAGGGGGTCGCCTCGACATGCTTTCAGAGAAGGTTAAACCCTAAAGCGAAAAACGCACCAACTGTCAACGATACATGTCACAAGGCATCGAAAAATATGCCAAACACGAATGAAAAAACCTCTAGTGCCTTGAGATGAGGTGGTCTTTGCGCAGCAGCCGGAGACTTATGTACGCGATGATCGCCTTCCGAAGCCGCCATGTTATGATAGTAGCAAATGGCCTACATAGCGGCGTGGAGTCGAGGCGACCAATCGGACAAAAGCGCCGATGTGGAAAAAGGAAAAAATCACTTCCCTCCTCCTAAAAAAAAACTTCCCTATATCAACTTGACGTAAAAGTAGACGTCCTGAAAATGTTGATAAGGCACTCATAAACTCTTTGGGTGGTAAAAATAAATTAAACTACAGAATCTACGTCCAATATATTTATTTAATTTACGTATCTCGTACTCGTCGTTGACGCCAAAAAGTTTTTTTTTTTTTTTTTTAATTTCGGTCGAGTGTGTGGTGTCTGCTGTGTACTAGAATGACGCACGTGAAGCTAATGATCTGAAGCATATTTGAAGCACGTGTTGAAACTAAATGTTTCCGCTATTTCTAGCTCTGATTATAGGATGAAAATTCAACTTTCTTCTTATTCTTTCAAATAATCTCGATCAGGCGATTCTTCTCAAATGGAAACAATTTTTTAGGCAAAAGAACAATATCGAACATTCCGTGCGTCATTTAAAAAAAGGAAAAGTGTACAGCACAACAATAAACCTCGGATTATAAGAATTCTTTTTAAGGAGATAATTATATCCTTTCGTCTAGTTATCGATGAAAAATACCGAACAGGATAGACAACGCGATATTGTTAATCAAAAAGAGTGAATTTTAAGCACGCTCTTCAGAATGGAAATTGTTTAATTTCTGGGTTCGCCGGACAGGTGGCAACGGAGGATTTGAACAAGCTAAAAAGGATATCCTCAAACTCGAATTTGAGATTTGGAAATTTCAGTTAACTTCCCCTTGATGCAATGATCGTCAAGCTTTGAATAAAGGTTCAATGTAGGAACAGAAAATTTACGGACGCCGATGTTGATGAGCAAGAAAACAATATGGCTGATTCCACAATTTTTTAATTTCTTTTTTGTCAGGTTTCATCGAAAAATTTAATTTGCTATGCACAGCGCATGGAAATTAAAATCAGCAGAGTTTTTTTCAAAATGAAGGAAGACCTCATGTTTGATGACGTCAGACTATGGACATGTAGGCATGCACGTATGTTAAAAGAAAATTTTTCAAATTCTCAGTAGTATTGCGAGCTTGAATAATATTTACCTATAAAAAGCTCTGGATTAAAGAGTGATCCGCACACAGGTGCTGGTTTTAAAGGCTTTGAAGCCAAAATATGAATTTCAATTTTAGCGCAGACCATTAAGTGTTCAATTGAAGAGTGACGGTCAGTTGATACTTTTTTTCTCTATTCTTTAAATGTATTGATTTTGTAAAGAGAAAGGCTTTAATGGTCACTCCTAGAGTGAAAGAATTAGTTTTTCGGCTGAAACAACCGTGACTGCACATAACGCAAAAGAATTTTGAAAGATTATCAAGTAGAGCGCGCACATAAAATTTGACGCTGGTATAAATGTCCTTTGTAACTGAAAGCGTAATTATTTTTCAGATACCAAAATAGGAAGGGTTTTATTTCCGCGAGTACAAACCCGATGAAAAATTTACTTTGAAGAATCAGTTTGAAGGAGCGATTTAATAAGGAATATTTCTACTTCGACCCAGATTCTTCTTTTAGCGATAAAGTCTGTTAGCTGAAGTACAACGTGTTACGAAAAATCATAACAGAACGATCGAGGTCCTCGCTTAGTCGATTGGAATTTTGTACAGCTGCAATCATATGCTTTGGCTTCTCATGAATTTTGCCATTATACAGTTCTGCCAGAACTATATAATTATATTCTTATCATCGAGACAATTTCAGAACGAAAAGTAGAGGATAAAAATTATATTCTTACCTGACGTCTGAGCACACGAAAGAAATCGGATCATTTTTGGCCGGAGACACAGATTTTTGTTCATATTTGCGATTTCGCTGGTACTTTAAATCAGTTTCAGATGGCGTTACAAAGCAGTCATCGAGGGCAAAATTATAGCTTTGATAACTACCTTTGTGTACACGGTAATACACTACATGTATATTTGAATTAAAAAGTGAAATATTTCGGTTTTCTGACAGTCGTCACAGACTTTAAAAAGCGCTTCCATGTGCATAAAAATAAGCGACAAACATAGCAAAGTTATTTCCCCTCATACTATCAAATTATTAGCTTTTTCATTATGTCTTAAAGGTTCACCCACAAACCGGATGCCTACCTTGATTAGATAGGAACATATATATATATATATATATCAGACCAGACACGGGGGTGGGGAAAGGAGGGGGATCACCCTACCCTATTACCAAGTTCCAGGGGATCCACCCGCCGTCTTGAAGCATGCAGCCGCTATTTTAGTTTCAACCGTAATATAATCAAGAAATGCTGAAGTACTCCACTCCTAGAGATGACCACCGAGCAGTTTCTCCTTCAAATATCAATATCTGATTACACAGGCAGGTAAATATATATATTTAGTATAATTGCTGCGATGATTATAGAGATGCACACGCCCTGATTGGTTGAGGATTCAGTCATACCTGGCTATAATCGCCTCGCACGAGATAATTATAGCAGGGGCGCTGAATTTCAAAATGACTGCCTCGCGTTTTGTTTTGTTTTGTTTTTTTACAAGGAAGATATGAAGTTTTTGCTGATTGAATATAGTGAACCTTTTTACATATTTTGATACAAGTAATCAATGCAATTGCAACAAAAAATGCGCAATGCTCTTTTTATTTACAGAATTAACAACATACACTCGGAAGATCATTATACTTATGCAATTAATCGCTTTCGGCGTATAATTGTTAAACATTTCTTAAGAGTGGAAGGGGCTTATAGATAGAGCCTACAACAGCATACCTGATATTATATGCGTTATTAGTTCAAAAGAGCTATCAAACTTTCTGACGTCAGCTTATCAGTGCAATACAAAAACGGCATTAAACATAGCGCAGGGCCAAACATCGGTCGCTGGAGGTAAAATACAGGTCCAGTGTGCTGACGTCATGATCAAAGTTCGTCAACTTGCGAATGCCCTTGACTCCTGTCTGATAAGTCACGTGATGCAACACTCGATATGATCACGTGATACAGCAAAACAGGCTACCTCATGCTAAATCATCATACAGACAATTGGCATCCGCAAATCATATGGCTAAGAAAAATACTTAATAACTAGGAAATATAACGAAAATCGAGCTACATGAGCGCATATTTAAACAGTTTATTTGAGTTTCATTTGCTTCCTTCCCTTTTGAAACGAAATTCGTCTCAAATTTCGGAGTTCTTCTCGAAGTGCTTGATCGAATATACTCAAGTAACCCTTTTGGTTACGCAACAAAAAACCACTAAAGCATATCAAAAAAGCTAATAAATCAATGGATGCAGTGGACTTTGGAAGCTCTTAAAGCTTGCTATACAATAGGCGCGACCCCGACGAAGAAGAAATTGATAAACAACTTTATCAAGAATGTCTGGAATTCATCATTTAAAATGTGCACCTTCCTTATGGTGGGAAAAAGAGATGTGCACCAGGATCAGAAAAGTAGCTTCCTTTTGGGAGCTTACAACCTTCCCCAATAACAAAATATTGATCCAATCTTACTGAGCTTAATCGATTCAAATTGTTGCCAAACGTATCTCGATGAATTCCAACTGAGAGATTCTGGCGCTCAATCCTTAACGCCCTAACATCAGTGCGCATGTTCTCTATGCTGTTTCCTATGGTGCTGACAAGGAGAATTTGGTTACAGTTAAGATCGAGTTCCTTTAGTTGTGATCATTTCTATTATTCTCATGACCTTAACATTTGATTCACCCGTGATACTGTAAGGAAAATAAGCTGTTAGCCACTCTAAGTGGGTCGCAGAAAGCACGAGTTTAAAAAAACATCTGTGAAAATTACAGACGAAAAATTTGTGTTTTAATTGACTTATAATTGACTATTAGATCATATGAAATAACTGATATACTACCAGAGCTCAGATTGGTCGAAACCCGACCATTTATTGCACCGGTAAACACTTAAATTTTTTGTAGTTTATTCAGTTTATAAAAGTAATAGACTGCACGTTCTATCGGTTTTCCGGCGTAATAACCCACGCGGGATATTGAGAGAGCACAAGAACAGTTTGTTAATCACGAGCCAGAGGCGAGTGCATCTATAATCTTTTCTCGTGCTCTCCAACATCCTGCGTGGGTTATTACGCCGGTAAACCGATAAATTAAAAGAGCTCGAGATTTCTTTCGCGTGTTAATTGAAGATGGTGAGGCCTGAATCTAATTGCTTCGGCACAAATCTCCTTGACGTGAAACACTTAACACTGAACAAGACTGGCTCAAGTTATTATTTAATCTTTCTTACAATCACACTTCTTCAGGCTACTAATTACTAGCTATTTATCAGGGGATGAATAGCGAGAAATGAACCTAAGCGGATTGCAGCATATTTGATAGAAAGTTTGAAGATTTATACTAATAGTGGATACCTTGCACTAGGAAAAAAGTCAGAACTTAATTACTTAGTTAATACAAGGGTATATACAATCTCTGGGTTGATACCAAGACTCCAGTTTCTATATTCAATGTCTGAGTAAATACTCGTTTCGGTTGGAATTCATATTTGCTACAGTATAGGATACACTTTTAAGGAAACTAGCGAGGTGAGATTTCCTATTTTTTTGGCCAAAAAAAAAAAAGGCAAAATTTAAAGATGAGAAAGCAAAAACGTGAGAGCTTCCTAGTAATGTCAATGATTTTTTTTAACGATAACAATAACAAACATAGCAAGGGAAAAAAAAGGACAATCATACAAAAGCGCATCAAATATATACACGAAAAGAAAAACTTACGTCGTATTGCACTAAGTGCAAATGTCGCCAGCAGAAATATAGCCTTACCCCTCCCCCCACACGAAAACAACATTGATTTCATACTTCATGTCACCACCTTCGATGCGTTTTGTATGGAAGGAAATAAAACTGATCAGCGAAAATAAATCTACGAATCACAAACTGAGGATTATTAAACTAGCGCTTCTGTTGTCAACGTTTCAATAGCAATATTT